TGTTAATACTTATTGCAAAGTCATAATTTAGTAAGTAAATTAAAAGGTGTCGTTGACTGGAAGTCGTCGTTATTTTCGTTAATATTTTATTGCCTTTCTTATCTTATCTTATCTAATTTATTATGCCGAAAGTATATTGCTAAAACTGACGTTTATTTTCATCATATTATATTATATATACATATTTTTTATAGATATAAAATACAATATAAAAGTCTTGTTGTTTACCCATAAAGAATTTGGAATGCTTTGTTCTGCGCACTGATTGAATTTTAATTGCCACATGCTGCTCAAATTGCTGTGCAACAGGCAATAAAAATCGAATCAAATTAAATTAAATTAAATAAATTGAGTTTTACACAAAACAATGACATTCATTTCAAATTGATAAACAATAATTCCCATAATTAATGCATGCCAAATGCAATTGGCAAAAGTTTGCAACGTTTTTTTCAAATGCACCTCACATTTTCCACTACAGTTATTTCATTTATAATTTCTGAATGATTTTAATAAATAATAATAAATAGAAAAAACAGACTAATCATTGTCAGTGTAGTCTTTTTTTTCCTATTTTCTTTTTTGTTTTGTTTAAGCCTGCAGTCTCTGGTCTATTGCCATTGCTCCAGATTGGCAATTAGCCAGTGCAGGAAATTACTCGCAGTGCACTCAGTCTGCTTCTTTCTGAGTGTATGTGTGTGTGTGTGTGTGTGTGTGTGTGTGTGTGTGTGTGTGTGTGTGTTTGTCTGAGACAGTGTGTCCCATTTGAGCAACATTGACTGGGACAGGACGAAACTGTTTTGCATAACTAAATAGCTTGCAAACTGTATCATCATTTCAGCTGTAACAGACACACACACACACACACACACACACGAATACACTCAGAAAAAAATTATGTATCGCATTTAGCACTCAAAGCAATTACGAACTTGAACAAATTCCGCCAAAGGTCAAAAAACCAATAACAAAAAAAAACAACAAAAAAAAACGCAACTTTTTTTGTTTCAAATTTTATTGCAAATTTTAAATATCTTTTTTCACACACACGTGTCGCTATTATATTTTATTTATGTTTTAAGTGTTGTGCATAATATTAAAGATTGTTTGCAACTTGAAATTGATGCGAATTGCCAGCAAACTCGACACACAAATCGCAAATTGAGTTTTGCACTTGTCAATTAATTGGTGGCACTTCAAAAAAAAGAAAATATTATACTTTAAAAATATGCTTAAAAACCGGAACCGGAACTGGAACTGGTAGCGATTTTTTGAAAATTTCCTGAGCCAACAACTTGTTGACGGAAAGTCAGTTATTTGGTTCTTATTTCAAGCAGTCAAAAAACTTCAAATGCATGCAAAATTTGACACTTATTTTTATTGATTTTCTGGTTGCTTTTAATGAGTATTCAGTTTTTGGATTTAAGCATGTTTTGTTGCATTTAAGCTGAACGCTCTGTGTGTGTGTGTGTGACTGTGTGTGTGTGTTTTGTGCTGTGCTTTTGGCTCTTAGGTTTTGTTGCCCAAGTTTAGATGACATTTAATTTCACATTTTTTCTGTTTTACTTTAGACAAGCTGTTAGTTGGCTGCCGTTGTTGTTGTTGTTCTTGTTGTTGCCACATACAGAGCAAACACATACATACACACACATACACACACACACACACAGTTGAAGAGCGAGAGTTATGCATATGTATGCGTATTATTTAGTTGGAGATGCTTTTGCGCTTTTTTGCGGTCGCTTTGCTGTGTTAATGACACTTGCAAAATTCACACACACACACACACCACACACACACACACACACACCCATCGCTCACATTAGACAAGCTGCTGCCACGCCCACAACAAAAAAAAAAGAAAAACAAAACTGGAACAACAAAAAATAGGCGCATATTTAAAATTAAATTACTTGCGGAAAAAGCGTGTAAATTGCCAGTGAATTATGCCTTGTCGCCAGCAACCCACCCCCCCCTCCCCTCCCCACCCCTGTCCACACATACATACCCCCTACCTCCCCCTGGTACAGCACACAGCGCCTTTTATCTAATGCTAAGCTCAAGTTGATGTTGTATTTTTTTGTATACTCTGGGTTAAAGCACAAAACGGGTCTTTTGGCCATCAATTTAAATGGGGAAATTTGAAAAAAATTAATGCAGAATTTTAATAAAACAAAAAGAACCGAATCGTATATCGGTTCCGGTTCCGGTTCCGGTACGTAAGGTGTAAGCCTTAAGAAATATAGCATTTTGGTTCCAGAACCGGACAAAGTAAAGTTTGTGGTTCCGGTTCCGGTTTCGATTCTGGTTCCAGTTTCGTTTGTTTAATGAAGATTTGGTTCCTATGACAGTTAAATGTTTTAATATTTAAATTGTTTTAGAAAAACATCATATTTTTTCTCTTTTCTAGAAATATTCTTAAAACATACCCCAAACATTTCATGCACTTCGAAATATTTTCTATTCTTGGGAAATAAATTTCTAAAAAGTAGATGTGCATATTCTAACTGAAATAAATATATTTGAAAAAAATAAAAAATTCAGTTTCTGAAAAATATTTTCAGCTCCTGGCGATAGAATAGAGAATATAGAATAGAGTATGGCGCAGTCGAACGATTTTGACTGCAAAGTTTTTACTACTTTTTTATACTATTTATTTTTTCATTTTTATTTATTAATTTTATTTTATTTTTTTTTTTTTGACACTTTGTGAGTCAACGGGGCGAATGCGTGCTTGACACTTAAGTGCTCCAATACAGCAGCCGCAAAACGGGTGTGTGAGTGTGTGGGTGGGTGGGTGGTTGGGTGTGTGGTTGTGTGTGAAGTCAAGTGTGTGGCATTAGCCGGCGTTAATTGCGAGCTTCGATTCGATACGTTTTGCATAAATTCGCCAGCAAATCGCTAACAAATCGCCCAATTTGCACTTTCGCTTTTTACGTGCATTTCGCACATTTGGCGAGGCAAGCCAGGGCCGCAATAGTCCGGCAAGGAGCAAGCCGTACTCGCAGACGTTGCCAAAGCTACTAACTGGTTAGTCATCAATTAAAAACTTACAGAAACGCTCTCTTTTGACTCGCTGTTACACTCACTCTCCCTCCCTCTCTCTCTCTCGCTCTTTCTCTCTCTCTCTCTCCCTCTGTCTGTTGCTCTCTGACACTGTTAATGGCATACTGTTAAGTCTGCTCGTAGTTTGCATGTCCTGCGCACTTGGCAGCATTTGGCAGCAGCTGCCTGACCAGTGCTGCCCATGCATTTGTGTAGCACAAACTGTTCGACTGTGTTATACAAGTGGCGGGCACTTTGAAATGCTGTTTTGCGAAAGTTCAATGAACCTTTTTTTTTTGTTCTGTGGTTCAAGTTCTGGTTCCCTGTGCGTATGTGTGTATGTATGTGTGTGTGTTACCAATTACCTTCATAGTCTCTGGCTCATTTGGGCTTATCTAAAGCTTCAAGTCACGATTTCAATTTGCAAAGCGAAATGCTCGAAAATCGATCTATTGATTTCATATTCAGCACTCAAAGTGGACGACATAAATCAAAATCGGTTCACGCGACAAATCTGACATAAATCACAGCATGCAAACAGTGGCGTAGTGCCGCAAAGGGTGGGCAACTACTAAAATAGAAAAATATTAATATTATAGTTAATATATTTTAGAATATTTTGTATTTTCATTTAATAATGTAATACTAATTTCACTTTTTTTATATTTTTTTAATTAATCTCTGTTTTTTGTCAAATTTTTTCTTAGTTCATTTTTAGTCTTCAAGCCATTTGGTCACACCTAAACATATTTAGGTAAATTTCAAATATTTTCATTTAACTGCCATTGAGCCAATTGTCGCCCCCGATAGACGGCGTCACTGCTTTGTTGCTCCTCTATCTCGCTCTCTCTCCTTCTTTCTCTGCCGCTTGGCGGAAATACTTGGCTGTCGCCCTTTTGGCATGCGCAGCATGTTAGCGGGTAAATAAATATTGGTCTACACTTTTCCACTTATCAGTTGATTAATCTGTTGACAGTCTCCACAATTAACCTGAGACAGGAATTCAATTTCACACACTGACTCAACACGCACACACACAAACACACACATACACTCACACAGACGCACGCACGCAAGAGAAATGTCGAAAACCCGCTTGCAATGCGCCAAGTGCAAAAATGCGAAGAGTGCGCAAAGCGCACAACGCAACTGCTGCAAAGAGTGCACGTGCGCGCGAGAGACAGAGGGAGATAGAGAGAATAACATTACATCGTAGATTCCTTTGCATGCCAAGCTAGAGATGCGCTAGTTAACAGTTACCAACTACTTGTAACGATTCAATGGTGATCGCTGCATAAACAGCGATTTTCAAGCAAGAAAATGAATGCTTCACAGTAGATAATGTAGAAATCACTCGCCTCTCTCGTAAATTTAACGTCTGAAAAAATCATATACATATAAAAATAAAATTTTTCCACTTTTAGACTTCAGAAGCAGTTCTTATAGATATTTCTCCTGCTTCTGTTACGCTGAATCACAAATTAATCAAACCCACACAATATTTTCAGTGTATTTAAGCTTTTACAAAGTTACTGTTACTGTTATCACTGTTACATTGTAGCGCCCGAAAATTCACAGTTAAGCGCGCATCTCCAATGCCAAAAACTGTTGACAGCGACGCCAGCGGCAAAGCCAACGCTGACGCACTGCGCATGCGTAGCGAGTGAAGCCGAAGAGCAGCAGCAACAGCAGCGTCAGCAGAGCAGCTCGAAGGCAGGGCAGCGACAGCGGCAGCGGCGTCAGCTGAAAACGACAACGCATCGATTATAAAAATAAGACGGGACTCGGAAGCATATTTACTTTGTTGTTGTTGTGTTTGTTGTCGCCCGTGAAGCTGTTGAAATTCGAGCGCAAATCGACAAACGAACTCAGAACGCTGCCGCTGCGCAAAGGCAAAGCACGCGACAACCAACCAACCAATCAACACACACACCATCAATTCCCAATTCCAATTCCAGTTCCAATTCCCATTCCAGTTGGCGTGTCTAGTCCAACGCAAAAAAAAATATCCTAACTCCAAAGTGCGTGGGAATTTCAGTTCCAGTGCAGTGTGTGTGCGATTTTCCAGTGTCGCCTACGAATTCTTTAATTTATCAGTTGAAATTTTTTTTATAATTGAAATTTTTTTTAAAGTGTTAATTAATTGACAAGTGCAAAACTCAGTTTGTAATTTGTGTTCGAATTTGCTGCCAATTCAGGTAAATGTTTTTAAGTTGCAAACAATATTCATATTATGCATAACATTTAAAACACAAAAAAATAAATATATATATTTGTGGATGTGTGTGTGTGTGTGTGTGAAAAGACCTTGAAACGATTTATATTCAAAAATTTTAGTACTTTACAAAAAAAAATATACATGCAAAATGTGTAATGTGCAGAAAATATTTTATTGTTATTTTTATTTTGCTTACGCTTTTTTTCGCTCTTATTAATGATAATTGCAAGTTATTTTGACATTTATTTGTTTAACGTGTGTGTGTAAAAAAAATACCTCTTGAAGTGGAAAACATGATAATAAATAAACACGGTCAATGCTCTTTGAAAATTAATATGAAATATTCTAATTGGAAATTTGCTAAAAACGTTTAAAAGCGAATTTCTTATGGATACCCTGTGAATAAAGTAAATCACAGAGTAAAATAAATATATTGCAATCTTATTTAATTAAGAAAACACAAAAAATCAAAGTATTTGAGTGAAATTCTAGAATTTGAACAGAAAACCACCTAATAATAAATGCAAATTTAATTAGTTAAATTAAATTTATTAATTAAATAAATAGGAAATTACAATTTCCATTTCGTGGCAACTCTTGAATATTACTGGTTTTTAACGCCAAAAAAAGATTCCATTTTCGCTTAGCTTTATTTCAAATAACTTTTCTAGCCAACTCATCAGCACTGAGTTTCATATTCCAACAGCTTGGTTTGCTGTGAGTTGGAACTTGCAGTCAGTTTCTGAAGTCCTTGATCAGCTGTTAGTGACTAATAGCATATATATATATATATATATATATATATATACATATATATGTATGCGTATGTATATATTCCAGTGTATGCTATTCAACTCTGAGCAATATTGAATATGCCTTCCAGTGTGGGCTGTCAAAAGCGTTCAAAGTCAACGCATTTCGGCATCCACGCGACTGGAATACTAAATAACCCCACTGGAATGCACAGTAATCTGCGACACATACACACACACACACACACATACACATATATAAGCATACACACACACATCTATATGTGCACTGACAATGTGCAGTAGTGAATAGAATACCGCTACACACGAAAGATAAGCGTCTTCTTCTTCTTCGTTTGGATTAGCGCGTAGAAAATGGAGAGCGAGAGAGAGAGAGAGAGAGAGAGCGAGAGGGAGAGAGATCGCAAAAAAGAAGAAGAAAGAAATGTCAAATTGTCTGGAGTTTTATGTGTGGCCCCAAAAACCCACAAATAACGAAGAAGAAACAGAAAAACACAACTCACGAAGCAATTTGTGCATTTCAATGAGCTCTTAATTGTAATTAAACAAATCCGTATTGTTTTTTTTCTATTTATTTGTTAACTTGGCTCTGAGTCAAGCCGAATAATGAAGCCAAATAATGGTCGATTGCCCGATAAATGCAGTGGTGACTCCAACGAATAATCATAAAATATACGTGATCCACCCGTTGTGGGTTGCGGGCTGCAGGTTGGGGGTTGGGGGCGGTGGGGTGAGGTTTGCGGTTTTTGGTTCGAACATTTTTGGAAAGAAAGCAAAAGTAAAATTATATATTCGTTAAATTTGAAATGTTTTTCTCTTTGGCTATTTTGGGAAATGGTTATTGCGCAAGAAAATGTTTTCATTGAATTTTACTTTCTATCTATGCAGTCACGAAATATGCCAATACAAAACTGATATAAAACTGATTAGAAAATATTATATATATATTAGGATCTTTTCTTATATATATATATACAAAAATATTTTATTTTCTTTGCAAGCAAATGTGAATTAGCTCAAAAGTTATTATTAAATGTTAAATAATTTGTGCTTGCGATTAAAAGCTTCAAAATATTGAGAAGAGAATGGCCAACAGCTGATAACAAGTTATTACCAGATTGGAACCAGATGAAATTGGAGCTGGTCTTTCACTCCGCTGGCCTGGTTGACTAGTTGGCTCTTGGCCACATTCGCTTGACCTTGAATTGTGCGTTGGCTTACACGTAATCCGACCATTCGAAAATCTGGCAATGTCAGTTTTGGGTTAATAACATTTTGTGCATCTCATTTTGAAAGTCGACATTAAAAGCGGCGTTTTTTTTTTTTTATTAAATGTACATTTGTGTGAACATTTTAAATTTTAAATATCAAAAGTTGGCCAGGATGCCAGCCAATTGATGGCCAACAGCAGCTAAAACAACTGAAACAACTTGTTATTACCCGATTGTTCCCACGACTGTCACACGCCTGTTTTTGTTGCCGTTTAAAGACAAAGAAATCGCCTCAGCTAACTTAAGTCATATATTAAAAGCTTTCTATGATATGCATTTAATTCTAATTGGCAATTGTTTAAAGCTCTTATTTATTCGCGGTAAACAAAAAGCAAACCAAAAACAAAAGAAAACAAAACCAAATTGACACATTGACACATTTTTTGCGCCTTGAAAGCAGACAACATGTTTATATGGCTTACACCCACACACACACACACACAAACACACAGTGAGCGGGGAGTGTGTGGTGCGGAGGCAGAGGGGAGAGGGGGTGTTAGCTTTACAGATCGCAGCCATCAATCCAATTCGATCGATCGTTTGACAATCGATGTCAGCGCACCGTTCGATTTCATTATAAAATTTACGCATGTTTGATGGATAATACTAAGCCATGCCATCTAGCCATGTACCCAGTGCGTTCTACGTGATCCGCATAACAGATAACTATATATATATATATATAAACGTATCACTCTGTATGTATTATATATATCAACAGTCAGCACGATCGATATCAAAACTTTTTGGGAACTGTTCGACTTTGCTTTTAATGCGAAAAACAAAAAAAAAACATCAAATGATAAAAAACATATTTCAGCAAACAAAAGAAGAATTTGGGATAGATTGCAAAAGATGTTAGAGCACACGGCCAATAAATAATATCAAAAGCAGTTCAATTTTGTTATAAAAAAAATATGCGATTAATATTTAAGCTCTTTTTTCAACTGGAATTACTTTGATATTGCAGTGCTATAAATCGAAATTGATCGATTGGCGGTCATTCGGCAAAGTCGTTGGGGCCTCTTTGTGCCAGATTTGTGGAAAAGAATAAATGCTGTCCGCATTGATAGACATTTACATTTGGCTTGAATTATTTATTGTCGTTTTATTAATGAGAATATCAGGTCCATTAGTCGCATTATTGACCATCTCTCGCGGCCCGTTAAATATATAGGGCTCAATGGACCAATCTACGCAAATCTATGCAAATCAAGCCGAAAAAAGAATTTCGTGTTTATTTTGTGCCGTTTTTATTTAGCATTTTGTTGATTTGTTTTCGTGTTTCGTTATTTGCTGAACTGTGCCAATTCTCGATTGGAGCGCGGGCGTCTTTCTCTTTTCTATTATACAAATACAACACTATATATATATATATATATATATATATATTTATTTATTTATATATTTATATTTAATAGATCTAGACCTATCCAGAACCAATCCCGCAAAACAAAACGATACGAAACCGAACCCAATTAGTGAGCAGTTTAATTCGCAGCCGTAATTAATTCGCTCGTGCCGTAAAAGAAATTGATAAACAATGCGACCAAGGCAAAGAGACAAATCAAAAAATAAAAAAATAAAAATAAATAATAAAGAAAGAAAGAAAGAACACTGAAGATTCCATACTCTTGCAGACCAAAGTTTAGAGTTTCAATAACTAAACCTTTAAAGCCATATTATGTGTATAATTTGTTGATCATATACATTTATATATTATATATATATATATGTCATAGTTTGTGTTGAGTTTGATCCAGATAACTTGACAAACAAGATACACAAGAACAAGTTACAAGAACTGATCTTCCTACAATTTGATCCTATGGCAGCAATTTAATGTAGTCTTCGAATTTGAAGGATATTTTGTGCAAATTGTTCAAGATCAAGAACATATAGATAAATGTCTACTTGATGACAAAATTGAAGTACCCTTTGCAAGGGTATAAAAAGCGATACCCATATCTGATTTCAATACATTATTCAATTTGTAAACGCGATTGTCGCTCGACCTCGAAAAATATGTTTCCCGAAAATTGTTCAACAATTTGTCATTTTGTAGCCAACCAAATACAACAAAAATCGTGACTTGCGCGAAAAAAAAAATGATTTTAATTTTTATTATGCGTATTGTCAACATTATATTATTTATAGACTCAACTTTATAGATTCCCTCTTTTATTTCCTCTTCTGCTTACCAAATATGTCTCTCTCTGTGTGTGTGTGTGTTTTTTTGTATGTGTGTGTTTCTTTCTGAGCTGCTTTTGCTGGCGCCACTTTCAGCCTCAGAACCTGGAATCCGAAGAACATTTCTTTTATTTAATATTTGGCAAAATGAATTTCTTGTCATAATTAATGAATTCTGGTATACAATATCAATAGATTAGCCACAAATACTAAATGATGTAAATATATATTAACCGCTGCATAAAATACTTGTACTCTTTGCTGCCAACTGTGCCAATTTGTTTCCAACTCGATTGCGTAACCAAAATTAAAAAAAAAAAAAGGTGAACCAAAAAAAATATAAATATTTTGGGGCCAAACATGTAAATCGGGACCCGTCAATTGCACAACACCCAATAACAACAGCAACAACAACTGCCAACTGCCAACTGCCAACCAGAAAAAGAAGAAGAAGACGGAGAAGAAGAAGAAGAAGCAGAAAAGGGCAAATAAATATTTCGCATGCCAAACAGAAACAACGCCAACGACAACAATTAAGCAACAACAGCGAAAACAACAACAACAATAACAACAACAATTGTCGCTTCGGGAGCTTCTTTTGGCCATTTGCTTAATTTACAACTTAATTTCAGCAGTGATTTTCAATTTTTCACCAGTCAAGCCTGAAAGAGCCAAAATTCAAGTATTTCATGCAGTTTAATTTGAGGTTCCATTATTGTAAACGCTGCTGTAAAGGAAGCCAAGCATGCACTCGACGCTTGTCTACCCTGTAAAAAGGCTTCAATCTCAGTGACTGTGACACCTACTTTATAATATCGATAGCTTCCATTCCGATTGCCCAATATCGATAAAAATCGTTTAAAGATATCAATAAAAATTACAATTTAATATTGATCATCTGGAAGACTTGCATCACTTGCACAATGAGCTGAAAGCCTTAAGGCGAGAATATGTAGCTATAGCCAATAAAATATGTGGTATCCTAGGTAAACATATCATGGACTACAAAGATATATAACCCCTCAATCCGACAATGTTTCTTGCATTCGTTCAAGGATTGATGGAAGAGCTATAAAAACATTTCACATTAACAATATTAAACAATATTAATTTAATAATAACATTCATAATAATGTATAATAAAATAATACAACTTTCATAAAAGTAAATTTTGAAACACGGGGAAACATTCATATTTTTTATATCTATGGCTTTGATTCAGGGTAACTGCCAGACGAGCTCTCTCGACTCGAGCCTTCTTACTTGTTTCTCGTTTGTGCTTCTTTTTTTTTTGCATTTGGGGGCACTTATTGGCTTGCTTGGCTGCCTTTTGGTTTTTTAATTTGGCTGCCGGCTGTTGAATTTGCCGGAGCCTAGTTGCCTTATTGTACGGCTGCAGCGTTGCATGCAACACGCTCAGAGAGAGAGAGAGAGAGAGAGAGAGAGAGAGAGGGAAGGCAGCTTATTGATTTCTGTTGCCCGCCCCATCGCCGTCAGCAATTAAAATTCAAGTGTTCAAGCCTAATTACATTGCCCAAAACTTGATGCAACCTCAAACAGCTCAGCGGCAAACAAAGAGCCAAGTTGGGTCTGTCAAATCAAGCCCTCAATTTGCCGATTGATTTGCTCCAGCTGCACTGAGCTGGCTCAAGTGGAGCAGCACTTTTGATTACCAAACAAGAAGCTCTTTAATTGTATGATATATGAAATAAATGAAATATGTACAACTTGTTTATCGACAGATTCAACTTGATAGGCTTGTCTTGATGTTAATCAGATAATGGGCTAGAACTCAAGTTGAAATATCTCTCAAAGATCTGAATTGTGTGCAGCATTAAGTATGTTAAACTTTGTTAAGCATTCTACCAATTTAAAGAGTCTATAGAAAGTTTCAGCTGGCCTAAAAAAAAAATATATTCAGCTATAAGCTCTTCGTGAAGGGGGGATGAATTTTATAAAAAGGCAATCCGAGATGGCTGTTCCCTCAGAATTGAAGTCTACAGTTTATAGTTATATATATACAGCATCAACATCTAAACTATATCTCACTTATCTCTGCTGCTACAGTCTATCTATCTTTACTATCCGAATCGTAGCACTGATTTATAAATATAGTCGTATTGCTGGCATTTTAATAATTTCAATTGAGCTTCGAGCTAAGTGCAAATATCGATTAACTGCATTTAACTACACAACCCAATTTGAATCAAGCTAATTAATACAGATATTGATTTGTATTTTTTATTAATTTTTTTTCGCATTTGACTTCAGTGAACTGAATTTGTTTTTGTTTTTTTTGTTTTTTTTTGTTTGGGAATTTATGCTAATTAATGCGTGGCTCATTATGAAATCAAAATTTTGGTGCGATGATTATTCGAGTAGCTGTTAGGTGTTGTTGCTTCCGTTGCGGGATCAATGGCCAATGACTAAAAAAAAAAAAAAAAAAAAAAAAAGAGCAGAAAAATACGTAAAAAAAAAACGATAGAAAAAAAGAAAGATGTTTGATGTGCCTGATTCTCGCATCTTAATCAATATGCATATTGTGCATATTTTACACTTGGGCTCCACTTGGGCATCTTGCTGCGCAAGCGAAAATATTTTTAGAGCCTCGGGCCACGCCCCACACTCTCTGGCAAAGTCGGGGAGGCCGGACCAGTAGAAAATGAGAACTCGTTTTCAGATCAATATCCAGTGCTATTATAAAAATGTTTACAAAAACCTTTTGCAAAAAAAAAAATAATAATAATAAACTAAATAAATATAAAAAATTTATAAGCACATCGCAGGGCGTTGACAGTTTTTTTTTTTTTCGTTTGTTTTTTTTCTTTCTGAGACGCCAAAACATGTTCAAAACTAAAGTAAGCAAAAAGTCAGGTGGATGTCCTTGCAGGTGGAAGCAATGCAGTCCCCAATCAAGTCAGCTAAGTGTAATGGCCTGCTGGGCATCGATTCGATTTAAGTCAATATTTTATAGCATAATATAGGCTTACTTAGATGTACGTAAGTATTTCTGCTGCTGCCCATTGTAAACCCGTTTTTTTTTTTTTTTGTGTTTCTTTGTGATCGCAAATGCGTTCAAATTGATGTGGCCAGTGGTCTGTTAACCGTTTGTGTCTCCGTTTTACCATTTTGCAGATGCGCCGCCAGCTGACAGCTGCCAGTGGCAAGATGTACACGATTCTGCTCGGATTGGTGAGTGCATTAACCACATCGACTTACAACAGGGTCGAACCGACTGCGGCATGCTTTGATCCCAGTATAATACTAGCAGATAGTTGGTGGCAAGGCATCTTCCGCCTTAGACGGGCCCCGTTGCTACCAGCTGTATTCCAAACTCAAATCGATTGGAAAAGGTTGTTTTTAGTTTTCTTTTTTAGAGGTAGGGGATTTTAGAAACTGGAATGTGGATTAACAGTAATAAATGCAAATTTGATGAGCATACCTTTAAAATTGTAGGAAATATGACTTTTTTATCGGTTTGCACTGATCGATGTTATCGATTTCAGAGCATAGCGTAGATAAATGCCAAGTTTTGGAGAGGTGTCAGACATATGCCCGTCTAGCAAGCAATATTAGAGTATAATAAAGAAGTAGCAACAATAAAACAACGACTCTATTTGACAGACGACGCTGTTGCCCATGGCATTGGGTCATGGCAGACTGATGGATCCACCGGCAAGGAATGCAATGTGGCGCTTCGGCTATCCCAATCCGGTCAACTACAATGACAACGAGCTCTTCTGCGGCGGCTATGCGGTCCAATGGGAGCAGAACAGCGGTCGCTGCGGCGTCTGTGGGGATGCCTATCATGTGAAGGCGCCGCGACCACATGAGGCGGGCGGGGAGTATGCGAAGGGAATTATATCGCGTTATTATACAGCTGGCCAGGAGATCGATGTCGAAGTGGAACTAACGGCCAATCATTATGGCCGCTTCGAGATGTATTTGTGTCCGAATAACAATCCCCGGCAGGAGGCAACACAGGATTGCTTCGATCGTCATCCGCTTTACATATCGGGCAGTCGGGAGCATCGATACCTTATACCGCGCGACACCAAAAAGAAGGACATCTTTCGGTATCGCGTCCGTTTACCGCCATATATCACCTGCACCCAATGTGTACTCCAGTGGACCTACTACACGGCCAACATGTGGGGCACCTGCTCCAATGGCACCGAAGCCGTCGGCTGTGGCAAGGCTGGTAAGCACTACCCTCATTCCTTGAATCAAATTGAAAAATCATCCAATCGGTTCAATTTTTGCGGCAGAAACATTCCGTAATTGTGCGGACATTGCCATCCTCTCGAACACGGGAGGCGGAGTGCCGCCCATTTTCGTCAATAATAAATCTCCGTATTTGCTCTACTATCGCGACTATCGGGCACCCGAGGATAATAATGTCTTCCCACTGATTGTGCGGTGAGTGTTTTAATGTAACTGATTCAAATCCGTTTCATAAACGATTCATTTCTAATTGCTAACCGGTTGCACAGCACACTCAAAAGTGATTTCAAAACGTTGTAGCTGCTAACCATCTTGCATCGATTTACACACACATCAATAATTATTTTACTAAATATTTTAAGTTCTCTTTTATCGTTTTTATCAATAGGCTTTTTTCTTACATTTATTTTGATCTCATTTTTGCTCGGCTGCTGCTCATTTAACCAATGCAATTTCAAACTATTTCTGTACTCTTTCAAAATAACCGGTTCAAAACTCTTTTCAATTTTGCAGCACAAACTATGTATACTAAAAATGTAACCGATTCGACACTACCTTGTTACTTCTTCTATTATTTTCTACACATTTCTATACGTATTGTTTTAGAAGCAACTTTTCAACTTCAATTGTAGAGATTCATTTCTGTCACTTTGCTAACCACTTTTTGAGTTTTCCTCAACTGTGATAAAAAAAAAACAAAAGAAACCAAATGCATTTTAAACTTTTGCTTCGCATTTTCTATTATTTAGCAATGCCACGCGGCATGCGCGCAAACGCAAGCCGCCAACCGCTTAACCGCTTACCCGCTAAGACAAAACAAAAACACGTTCAAAAACCACCCGCTTACCCGTTATATAAAGTTTTTCTAGCTAAAGCAGCGCAACGCAAAATCTAAGCGAAACGGGTAAAGGTCAACTGTAAACTATAAAAGATAAGATGCAAAATCGGGTTATGGTAGCACACAACACACACACACACACACAACACACACACACACACATACACACACACACACACACACACGCACACACACACACACACACACACGCACACACACACACACGCACACTCACATTAGCTGTATATATAAAAAAAATGCTTCAAATAAACATGAAAACAAAAAGTTAAACTTAAATCCATCGTTTTATATGGTTTTCTTTCGCTGAATATCAAACGGTTAACCGTTTTTAAACAGCAGCAATCCACGGGATGCCACAGGTGTTTTCAAATAGGAAAATAGCGAATAAGTAGAACTATATTCATATATTTAAATAATGGCCACAATTATCAGTCCACTCATCCAAATACAACAACAACAACAAAAAATATGAATTATTTAAAAATCAAAATGAATATTTATGCATATTGAAAACGAACAAAAAAATATGCATTTATTTCAAATACAAAAATTATTAGAAGGATTGAGAAACACCCAGAAAAAAGCCCCAAGCAGACAAGAGTTAGTACGGATTAGTTGAGAAATCAAACGAACATAAAATCGTTTTAATAATTCAATTAATTAATGAAACAAAATGTTCAGAGTAAGTATAAAAAAAATCCATGTTTTTAGTTCTTTCAAGCGAACTACAACTCCAAATAAATAACTGAACCCGAAAATAATATTGTAATATTTTCAATTAAAAAAAAGAACTCCAAAAAACGCACTTGTTGCGTCAAAGGAGAAACGTAAATGGAGCCTAACATTAAAGCGGTTTTTTCGAATCGAATTGATTGGTTTTCAAAGCGAACACATGAAATTTTATTAACACTCGACATTTGACCTCGACAAGCAGTCAAATCAAAATGCAAAAAAACAAGAATGAATCAAATCAAAGATTCGATTCGGGATGGCAACAGTCAGCAGCGTATATCCGGATAGGTGAAGGCCATGATCAGCACCAGGAAGAGGGCGACCTGAACAATGCCAACCAGTATGGTCTTGAGCAGTTTCCTGTGCGGCTTCGGCTCCATCGGATTGGATGTCTTCAGTGGCGCCACAAGACGGCGTTGATGACGTGGCCTATACTTGGGATGCGACAGCAACTGTAGATGCATCGATGGGGCACGTTTCCTCAGCGAGCTGTGCGTGTGGCTCAATTTGAGTGGCAACTGGTCCCGCTGCTGCTTCTCCAGCTGCTTCTCCAGCTGCTGTTGCATCTCCAACAGCTCCCGCTGCTGCTGCTGTTGCTGCTGCCGCTGCTGCTGCTTCTGCTCCTTCTCAATGTTGCCTGACACTAGCATACGTTCCACATCGGCGCTGGACCAGTTGATGGCCAGCCGCATGCCATGCACGGCACGCAACGAACCCAAGCTGACCAGCTGCTGTGGCAGACCACCGCCCGTTTCACGCAGCTCCAATGCCGGCTCCCCATAGCTGAGCATGCTATTGAAGAACATGGCATCCTGTTCGAGCAGATTGAATGGTCGAGCCGGCGTCAATGGACGCAGCTGCTTCAGCAGCAGATTCGGATTCTCGCGCAGCAAACGGAACGTGGTCCGCTCCAGGCCGCCATCCTCGGCCAGCGGCAAATAGAACGACTGCCACTCATCCGCCGTCTTCAGCTGCGTGAGAGTTCGCATCTCGATGCGATACTCGCTGACACAGCCAAATTGCCGTGCATAATAATCGATGGCAGCGATCTGCTGGATGCCCGCACGCATCTCGATGCGACGCCAGCCCATGTGGACAATGGGCAGGGCATCGTATCCAAAGTGCGACAGATTCGAGCGTGGTGTATAAAAATTGCAGCTGGCATCGCCACACAGATTTGCATCGGAACAATTCGCCCAATTGGAGTCCAATTCGATTTGATTGGACTTCAAGCTGCCGCCGAGTGTTGCCTCCAGTTGCTCGCCCAGCTGCTGCAGCAATCGTATCTCTCGCTGCAGTGTGGGAATATTCTGGACAACCAGCTCGATCTTTTTATGCTGCTGCTGCTGCTGCTGCTGTTCCTGCTCATCTTGCTGCACGTCCAGCTTATGCTCCTGTCTCTGTTCCTGCTCCAAATATGGCTCTGGTGTCTGCTTTCGACTGCTTTGCGACTCCAGCGCAATGCAGCTCGACACATCGCTTCCCTCATCGACCGACAGCTGCTGCAGCTCCTGCAGCTCATCCGGCTGCTCGACGCTGGGTTGGAGCATCTCATTCACCGGCTTGCATAAATAGACGAAACTCTGGTTCTGCTCGTCGGGCAAACGGAATGCGTCGGCCAGCTTCGCCTTGAGTGAATCATGGCTGCCACTGCCACTGCCACTGCTGCTGCTGCTGCTGCTGGCACTGCTGCTGCTGTTGCTGCTGCTGTTGTTCAAGCTGCTTGTGCTCCCTACGTTAATCCCTGTGACTGTCTTCATTTCTGTTTGCAACATTTGCTGCCGTTTTGCCAGCTTATCCATTTCATTTGAATTGGCAGCGATTTTGGTTTTCTTCGGGAAACATGTTTTGCTCGGCGTTGCAAGTTTTTTACTCATATTTTTGTTATTATTATTATTATTATTATTATTGCTGTTGTTGTTGTTCTTGTTGTTGTTGCTGTTGTTGTACTTGTTGTTCTTGTTGGGCAACTTGGCGACGCGTGGCAGAAAGTTGTTGCAACGCGTGGCAGGCGCACTTTCACAGGCATTCAAATGAGTTGCAACTGTTGCCACACTTGCTTCAGGCAAACGAGGCACATAATTCATAAGACTCTTCCCACGTACTGCATTTGCATCTGACAAAAGAGCATTATTATTTCAAACCACATCTTCGATCTTAACTTGATTTCATTTCTCATATTTATTACAGTCATCATTTTAATGAATTAATTTTATAGGAATTAGCTTGCATTTAAATTGTTTATTGCTTATTATTATTTGTATTTAAATTGATTTCATTCGGATGGACTTTTAGACTTATGTGCAATTTCTAAACTACCTCTTAAGTATATAATGTTCAACTTACCCATCGAACTGCATTTCATCATTTCCGTTCGCGTATACATCATTTTTGGCAACGCTTTGCCACCCAGTTGAGTGGGTGCCTTTATCGGCATCTGTAAAATCTGCTGGAGTCCATCCGATTCACGCTCCCGCCTCAGATGATTGAATCGTTCACGACTCATATTTTCGCGAATTTTGATTGTTTTCTCTTTGCGTATAATTGCATGTGTGTGTTTCTTATATATATATATATATATATATATATATATATATATATATATCGGGTTTATTTTCACTTGGTAAGATTCGATAAAATGTTTTCTTTTTTTATTAAAAGAAAAAAATATATATATATTGAATTGTTTACGATGTGTGACAGAAAAATCATTTGAGAAGAGAATTTTGTAAATTATGCTCTGGTGGAAAACACAAAGGCTTCCTCTCAAAATTGGCCGATTTACTCAGAAATTCGAAAAAGGCTAAGTGAATTTCAAAAATCTAGAAACAATTTGGAAACACGATTTTTGATTGGAATTCCGATGCAAACAGCTTTGCTTTGCAGGATTCTTAAAAATATATATATATAATAAATATAAATATATCTAAAATTTATCAAATTATAGTATTTAAATATTATATTAATTAAGTAATATTAGTTATGCTAACGCTAGCTTTTAGTTTAGGCTCAGGGTGCGGCTAAGCTTTTCGCCTATTAATAATAATAAATTACAATTAACAGCTTGGTTTTTATTTGTTTTGTTTTCTTTTTGTTTTTTGCAAATATAACAGCGATCAAAAGTGTATTGGAGCGCCCGCATTCCGTGCGCTGCCCGGCATCGATAACTGGTGTGAGATTAACTGTTTGCGCTATCCGCCCAATTGTCCAGAGACCGCCTGCCACTGTCCGTAAGTAGTGCCGTAGTTGAACATAACCTCAATTTTGCTAGTGCGTTCTCTCTTCCTCTTTAACCTCACACATTGATTGCTTGCAGGCAAGAGTGCGTTGCGATTGGTGAGCTGGAGGGACGCGAGGGCGCCGATACTTATTGCATGGACGAGTGCCTCAATTATCGATCGGATTGTCCACGCGATCGATGCCGTTGCTATTGAGAGAGAGCGAGCGAGTAAGAGAGCGAACGAGAGAGAGCGAGCGAGAGAAGGTATATTAACTAGCTGTGCTGCCCAATTGCCACAAAAGAGAACAAGAAAACGAAAGGAGACAAAAACAAAATGCGAGTATTTTTTTTGTAGCTGCATTTGAATTCGAAATATAAATAAATGCGATATTAATGTGAATGTGATTTAAAAATGTTGTTGTCCATTTTTCAATCGGTAAAAAAGATAAATTGGTTTTGTGCAGACAGGAGACAACAAAAAATTAAGAATACTTCAATCTTTCCATTGGATTTTGTAAGATTTGAATACCCATTGAATAAAGCCATCAAATGATCAAGGAAGAAGAAACTAACAATTGCATAAAACATAAAAAATCACGAAGGATTTAAGAAAAGTTCATCAGCAACAGATCATCGTATGGAGTGGGGCTTGGCTAAAGCGATCCCTTTAAATCATCAGCCAGCAAAGTTTCAATAAATTTAAAGATGGGCCAAGTACCTTGCATCTGCGTATACGAATTTTGGTAAGAAACTAACAGCTGGTTGCAGGGTATATCGTTGTTGGTTCCACTCAACTATGGCATTCGTATTTGATTTATGTGATGGATTTGGATCGATTTTATTTTGTAGGAATGCGCGCAATTTGTATGCAATATTGTTGTTGACAGTTGGTTTCTTTGTTTGCTGTGCCGAATTTCAGTCATTTTGGCTGCACGGCATCCTCATAGAGAAATGGCCGCGTAAATGCCACCAATAGATCGCGCTGCTCCCGCAGCCGACGCAGCTCCGACAATGGAGTCGCCGTATCGATGCGCCTCACACGGAATAGCGCCGAAACGGTGCACGCGATTTGAGCCCAACGTTCGCTGGCACGCGATCTGACCACATCCTCCTCACACAGATGATGATCATGATGATGATGCTGGCGTCTCTCTGAGAATGGGGCAGCAGTTGTAGTTGCGTTAGCTCTTCTTGTTCTTGTTGTTGTTGTTGTTGTTGTTGTGGTTGGTTTGCTTGTCGTTGGCTCCATTTGAAATGGCTCTCTGCGTATGAGAATCTCGGCATGCTCCTCGTGCATATCCTCCTCGTTGTCATCGTGTGGCAGGGCCGCACAGGCGCCGCATTTGACATCGCTCACCTGCGCAAAACTGGATGCAATGCGTCGCAATGATGCTGATGCCATTGTTGCTGTGTGACGCAATCGTTCCAGATTCAGATTGGACAGCTTGTTGCCATAAGTGGTGCGCAGCTCGGCGCGTTGACGACGCGCCACCTCATCTGATCCGATGGCCAGCCGTCTGCCCAGCGGCATAACGATGCTCCAGCGCTCCTCGAGCTGCTGCTGCTTCAACTACTGCTGCAGCTGCTGTTCCTGCTCCTGCTCCGCAGCCAGCGCCAATCAGTGATGCTGTAACCCAAAAAAAATAAATAAATAAATAAAGAAACTATTGACGAATTTGTTTGCTACGAATTTTGTCGAGTGTTCAACAGCACAACAAATCCAGCGCCAGCCTGGTTACAATTTTAAACATATTTGAAGCTCTTCTTACAAACCAACAAAACAAAAAAAAATACATCTAAATATCAGTTATTAATCAAGCATTTTATAATATATCACAAATCTATTCAGCTGCCATATTAGAATCTTGTGGATTTTTTATTGTATTTGTTTTCCAATCAAATTTGGATTCGAGCAGACGATAAGGATTTGTTTATGGAACATTTTTTATTTTATACTCTTATAATTAACAACCTGCCAATCAATCGCTCGAGCGTTGGAAACTAGATAGATAAACACTGAATGAATAGATAGAATGTATTAATGAACATATAGGATGGCGGGATGCCATCAAAACATCAGCTTCTTTTGGGGCATTACATTGCCGCGCACCGTTGTCTCGACGACCTTGCGCTTGAGGGCGGGCTTCTCATCGCCGGCGGCAGCTGGATTGGTGCCCTCCTTGGCCGCCAGTATGGCCGATGGCATTGGCAGCTTGGGTCCAACTGTGGGCGCGGGCTTATTGTGAAAATAGGGCATGCTAAGTGCCTCGCGACAGGAGCAACGCTTTAGCGGATTCATGGCAAAGAGGCGACGCATCAATGTGATCATATCATTGCCGGCAGCAGTGAATATATTTTCCAGTGGTGTGCCAACAAAGTTACGAAATTGTAAATAATCATGGAGTTTACTGACATGCGGCCATTCGTTCGGTGTCGGTGTGCCGAGGACGCTAAAGATGCGCGTCAACTGATCCAGATCGGAGTCACCGGGCAGAAATGGTACACGCAACATGAGCTCGGCTAGAATGCAGCCAACGGCCCACATATCGACACCGGTGCCATAATGACGGGCGCCAAAGAGGAGCTCCGGTGAGCGATACCAACGGGTGACCACGTGATGCGTATAGATGCGATTGGGCGAACCAAACGATTTGGCCAAACCAAAATCACCAATCTTCAAGATGCCATCGCTGTTCACCAGCAAGTTGTTCGGCTTTAGATCGCGATGGAGTATCCAATTGACATGGAGATATTCGAGGCCGCGCAACGTCATTATCGCGTATGCCTTAATGTTTGCCTGTGTGAGTATTATCTTATTATCCTTGATGATCACCTCCAGATCGGTGTCCATGAAATCGAACACAAGCGAAACATTCGACAATCGCCCAAAGACATCGAGCAACCCGATAATGTTCTCATGCTGCAGCTCCTGCAAGATTTTTATCTCACGCATTGCGGTGCGATTGATGCCATCACGTGCCTCATCCCGGCTGCCCGTCTTCATCTTCTTTACTGCTACAATTTGACTCGTTACAGTGTCGCGCGCCTTATAAACGATGGCAAACTGTTTCGTGCGGGAACATAAATTAGTAGAAATCTCTTAACAATAATAATATACTTGCGGGGGGTAGGCGCACTTACCTGACCTTCGCCGAGAAAGGACAGCTTGGCATAGCGATCCTTTTTGTCATCTCCCACTGGCAACATTAAAACAAGAATATCAAATTGCTGACAGTCGCAACGAGTTACAAATTGATGGAATGCAACCGGCAAAAACAACCAATCAAAACATATCTATCGATAACATATCGAGAATTATGAATTCCATTTTGTCACGTCAAACAATTCTATTCCATATTTCACTAAAAATATATCAAGCAATAGCAGACAGCTTTTGTCTGCCTTGATATCGCTTCACTAAATATCGATATACGATTTCAGCAAAAACATGGCGACGCAGCAACTCTGTGTTCATTGCACATCTCTTCTCGGCGAAGACAGAAAGAGCATTTTTTTTTGCTTTGCAGTTTTTCTATTCGATTATATTTGCCTACACACACACAAAAGAAAACCAAAATGGATGTACGACCAAATCAAACCATTTACATAAATAATCTAAACGAGAAGATTAAGAAGGAGGAGCTGAAGAAATCGCTGTACGCGATCTTTTCACAATTCGGCCAGATACTCGACATTGTGGCGCTGAAAACATTAAAGATGCGAGGACAGGCATTTGTCATATTTAAGGAAATTGGCAGCGCCTCTAATGCATTGCGCACAATGCAGGGTTTTCCGTTCTACGACAAACCGATGCGCATTGCCTACTCCAAGTCCGATTCAGATATTGTGGCCAAATTAAAGGGCACGTACAAGGAGCGGCCGAAGAAGGTGAAGCCGCCAAAGCCGGCGCCCGGCGTCGAAGAGAAAAAGTAAGTAGTTTGTGATGTAGTGAATTGTGACGACACATAAAATGCATGCTTCAATTTTCATTTCATTTTCAACAAAAAAAAACAGGGACAAGAAGAAGAAGCCATCGAATGCAGAGAATGCAAATCCGAATACACAAACGGAGCAGCCACCAAATCAAATTCTATTCCTCACCAATCTGCCGGAGGAGACAAACGAAATGATGCTCTCGATGCTGTTCAATCAGTTCCCTGGCTTCAAGGAGGTGCGTCTCGTACCCAATCGTCACGATATCGCCTTCGTTGAGTTCACCACGGAACTGCAGAGCAATGCCGCCAAAGAAGCGCTCCAAGGCTTCAAAATAACGCCAACGCACGCGATGAAAATTACTTTTGCTAAAAAGTAATCGCTCCTCCCAAGACGCTCCAATGTTTTTCCTTATATTTATTTTTGGCCATATACTTACTATATGCCCGTATTATATATTGTATATATAATCGTAAATTGAGGAAAAATTCATTTCGTGTGAATGGTTCAGAGATTTTACATTTGGACACACCTAAATGTAACAGTTTTTTTTTAACTCCTAATTTTAAAAATAATTAGAATAAACAATACAATAAAATCCTGTAAGTCAGAGTTGCTTATTCGTCCATTTAAATAATTCAAAAAGATACATTTTAAACCATTTCGAACGGTTATCTGAGACGTCGAAGATTCCATTCCCGATCCGCTCCTGTGCAATATATGAATTTGGGATCGCAGACGTCTGCCTTAATGCAAACTTCGCAACAAAAACAATAAAATATATATGTATTTATATATCCTCAGCAAGAATATGCAAAATTTGAAAAGCTGTTATATTTAATGATGATATTTGTGTATTCAGAAATTCTACGAATCTGCAAAAATTTGTGTGGTTTTTTCCTCTTACGGGATACGCGATTATGGGATTATGGCACCCATCACTGATATTTGGTTCTTAATTTTGTGATTTGCATGGTTTCTTTTTTTTTTTGGTATTTCAATTTAGAGGTTTGCAATTTCCCGATTCTCGTTGCTGTTGCAGTTGGTATTGTTAGTAGCAGCAGGTTCAGCGCATTCGGTTACCATGTGAGCAGCTTCGTCGACGCTCTCCAGGGGGGAGTTGGGCAGCTGCTTCAGCTGCGGCTTGAGATCCATTTCCGAAAAGTGCATTTCCTGAATATCGTTCGCATATTTGTCCATGGTTTTGGAGAGTCTGTCGGCATTGCTACCAACAAAGCTCTCCAATATAAATCCGCATCTGACGAATACAAATGTCGGCATGCTCCTTATGTTATACGCCATGGTAATCTCCATATGCTCATCGATATTCACCGACAGGACAATGGCACGTTCGGCATATTGACACGCCAGTTCGTCCACTTTGGGTGCAATTCGCTTACAGGGGCCGCACCAGTCGGCATTAAAATCGATGAGGATCAGCTTGTCGCCGGCATCTGAGATTTGCTTCTTGAAATCCTCGCTGCTCTGCACCACATGCACCATGGCTGTTAATACCGTTTTTGTATAGCTGCAAAATTTGTGCAATTTTGAATAAATAGACCAAAAAAAAATAAAAATATAAAACATATACTTACAACAATTCTGTATGTTGCCTACAACTCGATCGAAATACAAATGGGAAGAAATCCAAACTGACATTTAACTAACAGCACACAAAGATCGAAGATAATATCGATATCAGAGAAGACTTCTTCGACTCCTAAAACTTTTTTAAAAAATATCGTAACGCTAAACACACCAAGCGGAACAAAATGAAAAGGAAAGTTTTGACTTCTGTTGAAGTAAAAGAAACACATTCACTGTGTAAAAATAGTGGAAATGGACTGCTTTAGTGATAAACTAATAAATATATCAAGATTGTTACTATTATTAAATTAATATAATTAATATCAAATCATAATAATAATGCTTAATAAAGTTTTTTCAATTTCAAATTTCGCAAAAAAAAAAAAATGAACGATGAAGAATCTAAATTTTGAGAACGAGATATGCCTTTATCGCTTTGTATTATTCTTGCTCGATATGCACAATACAATTATTGATAATGAGACAGAATTTAAAATGTTTTCTATATTTTCCACAATCAGACGTTATGTCTCTAGAGAAAAAAAGACGTTTTATCTGATGCCATGTTTTGCTCAAACCGCGTATGTTGGCAACCCTACTAAACAGGAATATTACCGTTTACTTGATGAGCTTGCGAGTGCCGTTATGTGCAGAAATAAAAGAGCGGGAAAAACGTGCATGGGCCCCGATGCTATAAATAGCAGTGAATCTCAATTCAGTGCTCATCATTCACCGTACTTTCGTGCTGGTCTCATTCAAATTTAAAGCAGCTGAATTTGTGACATTTTTGTACTTTGTCCATAAAAATGACTAACATTCGCTCGATGAACGATTTCCACAAGCGCCTCTGTGATGCTGACGATAAAATAGTCGTATTGGACTTCTATGCGACCTGGTGCGGCCCCTGCAAGGATATTGAAAAGCTTGTCAAATCGCTAGCTCGTCAATACGCCAGCAAAGCCATCGTACTCAAGATTAATGTGGACAAATATGACGAGCTCGTCGAAAAGTACAAGGTGCGCAATATGCCAACATTTGTGTTCCTCAAGGGCAACCGGAGCATGGGCAAAGTCATCGGCGCCGATGATCACAAGCTGACCCACATGATGGCCAAACACTGCAAATGAGCAGCTCCCAAAGACGCAGGCGTCGTTAAGGAAAAACAAAAAAAAAAAAAGATTATTTTAATATTTGTATTTTATGTTTTGTGTAACTTTAATTTAATTCCGTGTTCAATGTAAACTCAAAAATGCCATGATTTCTTATATATTTATGCAAACTAACTAAATCGACAATAATAATGAGAACAATAAATAATAATAGAATACTGTAGCATTTGTAAAATGAACTGAATTTGCCATTTATTTATGCTTTGGATATAAATCAACTTCTTTCTTTAAGTGTAAACGATAAGCAAACCAACCAACCAAATTTCTTTTGAAGTGTAAGATTAAGTTTATTTTTTTCTCACTCCTTTTGTAGGTTAGAAACGAATATGGAAAGAATTAAAATAAACAAAATTACAGACAGCAGGCATGGAAATAAATCACTTTCTTTCAATTCGTCGTGTTCACAAATATTCGAAATCATTTTCATCACATAAGAACAGCTTTATTTAATTTTTGGGAAACGTACTAAATTTTCAAGTGGAGCAGAACAAGAAAAATAAAAATCGACAGTTTTTTTTTTCGATCACATCGATTTTGAGGATGTCCGCGTATCAAATTAAACATACGCCGTATTTCCGGCGCATGTTCAACAACAGTCGCCGCAACGGGCAGCTGCAGCGATTACGGGAGGAATACGAGCGCATCCAGGAGTTCAACGATCGCACCATCGAGCTGAAGATGCGGCAGGTGCGACTGAGGCGACTCTTTCGCTACATCGAAGACATCAATCAGGAGACGACAGCGACGCCGATGACGACGGTGCCGGGTGCAGCCGGGACACAGGCGCACTCGCTGCGACGTCGGCAGACGCTGTTACCGCTGACGCCGGAGGAGCAGCATGCGCTGATTCGCAGACAACGTCTGACGGCGCTCGAGCGTGGCCGCGAACTTGGCCAGGAGATCTCGCGCCGCAATGCCCAGCTAGCGGAGACCGGTGGCGGCTTCTATCTGCGCAGCGAACTCCGACCAATAGCCAAGCTGCGCGCAGCGGACGAAGCGAGAACTCTGGCACTGGAGCGACGTCAGCGCGCCGCCCGTCGCATCAGCTATGGCAATGAGCAATCGCGCTCGAATATCGAGCGCATTGTGCGGCGTCGCCAGCGGCAGCGAGCCATCGTCAATGCAACACCATCCGCATCGCTGATGCGCAACAGCAACGGACAACAGCAGCAGCAGCAGCAGTTGGCTGAGCTACATCCGGATCTGGTGAAGCGTGCTATGTTGCAGCACCGTCTCGAATACGGTAACTCCCGCTCCAGCAACAATTTAAATAGGCCGATTGGCAAATTGGCCACTGCTGGCTGCCTTTTGAACTGCATCTCTACAACGGATGCGAAGATGGCCCAGGAGGAGGAGCAGCAGCTGCAGCTGCTTTCATTATCCGCTGCCCCCTACAATAACAACAACAACAGTGGCAACGTTGTCAATGTGGATGCAGAGTCGGATATGCAGACAGCGTCGGAGCAGCCCGATGACAATGTGCCCACCACCAGCAAGGAGGCATCGATGTCGGATCTGAGCGCTCGACATCGCTGGCATTGCATCTCGCTGCCGCTGCCCTGGGTTAAGAGCTTGCAGAAGCACCCGGTAGCTGAGCAGCGGGCGACCAACATAAGCATCACCATTGGTAACGATGAAACGGCGAACATTAGTTCGCCACAACTAACAGAAACTGCAACTGGAACTGGAACAGGAACGGGAACAACAGACGGCACCTATCAAAGTATTCGTGAACCATCGTTATTGCAGGAGGACTTGTTGCATATAATGGAGCTGGACAATGGTTTCCAGGTGCCCAAAATGTATGTTATGCATCATAAGCCATTTGACCAATAGCAATAGCGCCATTATCGAGTCAAGGAGCAAGTGCATCTGGTGCATTGAGCAATCTGGTCATCTAATATCTAACATTGGAACAACAATCATACACATATTAAGTTACATTCTAAATTGAGCTGAAATCCAGCTCAATACAACATCAAAATGCTTATCCATATATGTACATGGTGCATGCAACCTAATATGATATATCCTATATCTACATATATATATATACATATGTATAAGGTCACAATATGATCTATTTGCTTACAGTCATATTAAGTATATAAACATAAAATAATGTAAAATAAATTCAAAATTAAATGTCAAAGGAAAAGTTGAACGAAATTATAAAGGGAATATCTATATATCTAATAGATCCGTTCCTCGATTATTTTTCCTGCTCAAGCTTATCGTCTGCCTTCATTTTTAGCTTGCGCCACTTGAGTTCCTCGGACTCGAACTTGAGCAGCCAGTTGGCGACCGCCTTCTCAATGTCACCAAGAAACGGATTTGTTGATACAGCTGAGGCGCATAGACGATATCATCGAACATGTCCTCAAACTCTGGCGATGCAATTGGAAACACCTGCGACTCCAGTATTTCAAAGCTGTAAGCAAACCGAACAAGTGTATCACATAATTCGATTGTCGATTCAATTTACCGGATATCCGATTAAATAGGGACACTTACGTGGGCAGACGTTCGCGGATGTAGCGCAAGCGTTGACCGCAATTCGCCTCGCACAACTGGCGACTATACTTTTGGCTGCGTCCTGCCATTTTTGCATCGACTGAAGCTGACTTCAAGTGGGAAACAACGGATCTGGATATTGTTGATCAACTCTTTCATACTTACAAGGGCATATTCTGGCACTGCTTGAGAAAGTTCTATGGATTTTGTAAAATGCTGTATCTGATATTCGGCAAAAAGTTCCTCCATCTCTTCTAACTGGTTTTCATCATCCATTTCAGGGATAGTTGTGTGCACATGAAAGGAATTTGTCTTCTTCACTGTTCTTGGAGCCGATTTGTTCTCGGTCAACAACATCAGCAACCTCCGTGGGATTGAATTCCGTTTCCTTTGTCGACAAACGCTGGATTGAATCGTATCATCTAAATATATAAATATGTAGATTTTAAACAAAATATTCACGTATTTTTATATAATGCATTCTAAATATCAAGTGGAATCTTACATGCTGTGTTAGCTTTATCATACGATTTGATTTGAACGCCAAATTCTTTGGTGCTTTCTCCAAGTGCCAATAATACGTAATAAGTAACTTACAAAAAGACACGCTCAACTTTATAATTCGTATTAAATGCCGAAAAGTAACTGTAACTGGCGAATAGTGTGGCAGCACTCCGGCAAGGAGCTGCCATCTATGTTATTTTTTCTGTCACCACCAACAATTTATTAAATTTCACGTTTTATAAAGATAATAAAATTACATTAAGACATTTCTGCAATGCTAAAAAGGTTTTAAAATTAATTTAGGCGCCTATACTGATCAAACGGTGGATGGTCTATATCGATAGATATCAATGTGAATATTGTTGATAACATTATATCGGAAATACTTGGTTGTTTGTATCGATTCTAACTATGTATATCGATACTTTAAGATGGTAACGCGGACATTTGTTTACGGCACATGTTGAAATTCTTACCACATAATTTATTTTGCGAACGAGAAATATTATTGAAAATGGATAGCGAGGCAGATGACTATGAGCCCACCGATTCCGAGCAGGAGTACGATGAGGAGGAGCGTGGGCTATTGGACGACTTGCGTAAGGAGAGCAAGAAACGAGCCGAAAAGTTGCAAAACAAGAAACAGGAGATTCTAGCATTCAGCGAGAGTGATGATGATGAGGACAATGATGATGTGGCCGAGTTGATGCGAGACAGTGATATTGAGGGTGCCGAAGATGACGAACACGATCTTCCCGACACGATGGACTGGGGCAGCAACAAGCGAAGCTACTACAGCACAGATTTTGTCGATCCCGACTACAGCAGCTACAATGCTCAGGAAGAGGACATGGCCAAGACCGAGGAGGAGGAGGCCAAAAAGATACAGCTGCGTCTGGCCAAGCAGCTCAATGAGGCTGACTTTCAGCTGGATGACATGCTAGATCAGCTGTCAGCCGATGAGCAAGCATTGAAACATAAGAAGGCCACCAAAGCTATCAAGGTGACCACAGATCTGACGGGTCTAACAAAACGCGAACGCCTACAGCTGCTGCAACGCGACTCGCCTGAGCTGATGGGACTCACTCAGGGCTTTCGGCAGCATTTGAACGAGGTACAGTCGCTGACGGCACCGGTGCTGAACTATGTGCGGAATCATCAGGTGCCGATGGTGCCTGCCCTGAAGTTCGCCAGTCTCTATCAAAATGTGCTGCTCACCCACTGCTCGAATGTGTCGTTCTATCTGCTGCTTAAAGCCAAACGTCAGAGCATCAAATATCATCCGGTTGTTAAGCGACTGGTGCAGCTCAAGCAGCTGCGTAATCAATTGGAGCCGCGCTACGAGTTGTATATACGACCGCAACTGGAAGCGCTGCTGGAACGTATTCAAGATGGGGATGCATTCACCGTACTGGATATGACGCAGCGCAAGGCCAAACTGCAGATCCTTAATCAATATAATGATGAAGAGCTGAATCAATCTAATGCTGGCGAGCAGCAGAAGCAGCAACAGCTGCCGAAGGAAGCTTCTGCAGATGAGGACGAGCAGGATGAGCAGGAAGAGGAGAATGCACGACGAAGCATCACCTATCAAATGGCCAAGAATAAGGGACTAACGCCGCATCGCAAGAAGGAGCTGCGCAATCCGCGCGTCAAGCATCGTGGCAAATACCGCAAAGCCCTCATCCGGCGGAAAGGTGCCGTGCGCAGCGTACGCAAGGAAGTCAAACGCTATGGCGGCGAAATATCTGGCATCAAATCCACTGTCACCAAAAGTGTCAAATTCAAAACATAATCCATATAGCACATACATATATGTATATTCCTTGCAATTACTAAACAGCCTTACACTTTACATAGAATCCTATTTGCCTTCATATATCCTGCTGTTTCTTCTTGTAGAATGTTCAATACGAACGAGGTTTTGGCAAAAAATCTTGGATGAACGTTATTTCAATAGATTCGTTGAAACAAACTTAAAATGTTGTGACTGAATTAAATGTGCAGCCATTTCGGGATGTCTATGTTCTTCCGAGATCCTTGGAGATCTAAGCGATCTAAAATAATATATTAGCAAAGTGTTTTGGTATTGTAAAATTTTATTCAATTAGGTCACAATGATTTCTTTCCGAACAACATACATATATATATATATATACATATATATATATATGGGGATGAGGAGAGCGCGATAGAAATATATGGATATTATATAAAATATATATATTCGTATCCATTAAATTCGCGAGTGTCTTCAATTCGTTTGCATGTGTGGATGTGTGTGTGTTTGTGTAAAGGAACTTATATATATAACTTAGAAGTGAAATTTGTATGGACTAGCATACCCATAGAGCGATAAGTGTGGTTCTAAAAATTGATCGATAATTTCTTATACATATTCTATATGTTAAAGAGTCTACGAAAGTCATCGTTTGACTTTGGAGCAACCGCCGGCTGTTCTGTCTCTTTGGCAGCCTCTGTATCCTTATTAGCAACGCTCTCCTTGCCATTGGCCGCATCGCCGCCGCATTTTGTACCATTGGCATCCCCACCATCTGTGCTGTTGGTGCCAGTATCATCATCAAGCTCCAGTTTCTTGCGACGCTTTGCGTCCTGCATTAACAGCTGGGTGGGTATTAGTGTTGTTTGGGAGCCCCGCTTTTCTGGTCTTGTCGTTGAAGCAGCTCCTAATGATTTTGATGATCCAGATGCTGCTGCTGCTGACGTGGATGTGCTAGGAAAATTTTTGGGCGGCGGATTCGAAATGGAAACTTCAATCTGCAAGAGAATTGAGAACCGTTTAGACATGCATGATGCAGGGATTATCAAAATATTCGTATTACGTTTAGACCGCCAATATTGACTCCATCGCCAGAGATGACTGCCTCTTGAGCCGCCTCCGGATTGTCATACTCAATGTACGCAATCAACTTTGCCTTGCGATTCCTTTGTATCCAAAGAGGAGAATTCATCTTAATTAATTGCCTTCGATTGACTACTTGTGTGTCTACTTACGGTTTGCGTACTAAACGCACATCCTGAATAGAACCAAATGCTGCAAATACCGCGGTCAAATCCATTGTGGTGCAGCGGGGATACAAGTTCTTGATAAAAATCTTATTGGGTTCCAAGCTTGCTGCAATGCAAATGATTTTTTATTAGATAGATTTAAGCTGATATGGATAACATCAACTCACATGAATACTTAAAGTTGGACTCTTTTGACTCATTTGAAGTTGCTGTTGTTGCTGCTGGTGTTGGTGGCGGTGGTTTCTTTTGTTTCTTCTCCTTCTTGGTTGTCGGCACAATCTCCCTATTGGCTGCCTGTTGTGTGGGCTTTTTGCCTGGCTTTTGGTAAGGCGTTTGCGCTCGATGCTGCCACGGCGCACTGAATTTAGAATCCATGCAGGTGTACGGCACACCATACAACTGACACTTCGCAATGGTCTCGAAGGTGCCAAAGCAACGCTCCTTGCACCGATAGAGCTCCAACACGGCATCTAGATTTGATGGCCTTGATAGCGACAATAGAGCCTGTTGCAGTATGGCGCTTGTATTATGGCCGCCATTGAATTCACTTTCCATTTGGGCGTAGGCCAGCCATAAGTGGCTCTTAACATCGCTGCCCGGATAATCTACAAAGAATGGGACAAGTGTTATTATATAATATGAAACACATTATACACTTTATACGCACTCAGTATTTCGGACCAGATGGCGGCGCCATTGCTTGGACTTTTTAACTTTGCATACTCGACCGCTGCCCAGAGCTGGAGCACTTCGTAGCTAGTGTCTGCTTGGTCGCCATATTGTATGGAGAGACGATTCCAAACCACACGGAATGCGACGCGCAATTGATCCACCTATCGAACGATTTGATATATTTTGAAATATTATACAAATTTGTAATTTGCAATAAGCACCTGTTCTTTATCGTCAACGTTGGTCTGTCGCACTCGATAGGCCAAATAGTCGAGATGCAGCTCAACGGTCATTTTTATAAACTGGTTGATGCGCTCAAACAGTCGGTTCAGATTCTTATCAATACGATCCAAGCTGAAATCATAATGTTCCATCAGTTGCAAATACTTGTGATTGATCTCGATGGTTGGCTTTGTACGCAGAGCGCGTTCGATAAGCTGGAGGGGCTTGCTGCTCAAATAGCCATCGTTTATCGCCGAGTGGATCTCCTCTTTGTCGTTAAACTCCAACGGCTTCGACATATATGCTATGTAATCCAACCAGAGGTTAGAATTAGTGGGATATTTGGCCAGACCCCGCTCGTAAAAGTATTTGCCCAAAGTTAATTTGATTTTCGTCGAGATGCGCAAAGTGTTTGCCTTACAGATGTAACTGTCCAGCATCAAGGCTGTGCTACTACAATATAATCTGTTCTTGAAGTCAACAATAAGCTGCTCAATCGAATCCAACTGTTCCTCGTTGCAATTCCAGGTGACACACTGGGCGCACATCGTTTTCTCAACCAACTCAATTTCCTCCTGATCCGATAGCAAGCCCAGCGCTTCACGCAAATCCTTGATGAAATCAACACGCTCTAGCCCATAATCAGCCAGTACCTTGGCCCACATCAAATGCTGCTCCACCAGTTGCTCCTCAAGCAAACTCTTCACAACAAACTCAGCAAGTGGTTCATCTGTGTTTCGTGTGAGAAAGATTCAAAACTAAATTATTGAAATATAAAATTTTGTATAGAACTCACCATAGCGACTGGATAGGGCTCTGGCGCATTTACTATGAAAGACTGCGCACTCCGCTGGTGTTTGGGTGACCACCTTTAGGGCCTTAAGATATTTGAGCCAGATATGTGGCGGTATAACGAAATGCTGATCGAACTCTGTGATGGCCATCTCAATCTTCTCAAAGACATTCAATTCGCTGTAATTGGTAAAGAGTGAGAGAGTGGCAAGAATTAGCATCGAGACCATATACACATATCATTGAAAATCGTAAGAATTCAAAAGGGATTCCGCTTACAATGCTGTCACGCACAGTTCCATGAACTGTTTGTAATTTTTTCCCGGCATGGCCAGTTGCACAGCAAAATCATCCTCCAGCGTGTCTTCTTCTTGCGACTGCAAATCACTGTCGCTGTCGCTCAGCGAGTTAACAATGTTAACATTGCTCTCTGAACTCGATTCTGCACGGACACTGCCGCTGTCATCGCTGTCAGAATCCGAGCTGATTTCGATTGGCTGCTCGATTAGGATGTTGTCTGGTTGGGCCTCGCCAGCTGGAGCGTTCTTCTGTAAGAATTTCATGTTTTGCAATTGTTTTGCTTAGAAAACCTAATATTGTAATACTGTGAACTTACATCAGCTTCACTGGCCATTTCACAAAAATGTCTATTATTGAAATTTGAGAATTGGAAATGAACTTTTTTTCGGGTTTCTTCCGTATTTATTAATGGTTGCCAGCCGTTCGATTTGGGATTTATTTGACCAGTCTACTGAGTTATAAAAAAAAAACACTAAGGGCTGAAATAATTGTTGTGTGTTGACACGAACTTGCTTAATTGCAAATTTTATTTTTGTCAACAGCTCCTGTTTAAGTTTTCTGGTGAGTGAATGCTGATGACAACTAGAGATGTCCTAAATGTGTTGATAAGCGTTCGAAGTCACACAGCCAATAGCCAAGTATCGATGATTTTGTTCACAGTTTTCAAATAATATGATAATTCGATTGAAACGCCAGCAAAAATGAATCAATTATAATTGTTCGAGAATTGGTATCGTCTCCTATTGAATTGAATTTAATTTTTTCTCCCCTATTTCGTTAGTTTTTCTCAACGTTGAGATGCAACAGAGTATTAGCAATTCGAGCAATCTGCGAGCCGATACAATGGGCAAACTATCGTATTATCGTTCAGTTCTTTTTCATGTTATCGAGAAGAAAAACATTTTAATGCTATGCAGCCCTGGGTTTGTGTCTGTGATTCCCGCCAAAAGTAGAACTGCATACGGCGTGCGACGGCACACGGCGCGGAACAGTACATTAAGGATATACAACGAGAGTATGTGGATTTTCTGGACGATGACGAGGATCAGGGCATCTATGCGGGCCACGTGAAGGACATGCTTGCCGAGAAGAGCAAGCGCCTGGTTGTCAATATCAACGATCTGAAGCGCAAGATCAGCAGCGCACCCTCGGTCTGCTGAGCAACGCCTCCGATGAGCAGCTGGCATTTGGGCGTGCCCTCAAGGAATATGTGTCGACTGTCGATCCCAGCTACGCGAAAGGGCACGAGGATTTCTTTGTGAGGTTCGAGGGATGCTTTGGCAATCGTCATGTGACGCCACGTTCCCTGACATCCATCTATTTGGGCATTCTAACTGGTTTTCATCATCCATTTGAGGGATAGTTGTGTGCACACGAAAGGAATTTTTCTTCTTCACTGTTCTTGGAGCCGATTTGTTCTCGGTCAACAACATCAGCAACCTCCGTGGGATTGAATTCCGTTTCCTTTGTCGACAAACGCTGGATTGAATCGTATCATCTAAATATATAAATATGTAGATTTTAAACAAAATATTCACGTATTTTTATATAATGCATTCTAAATATCAAGTGGAATCTTACATGCTGTGTTAGCTTTATCATACGATTTGATTTGAACGCCAAATTCTTTGGTGCTTTCTCCAAGTGCCAATAATACGTAATAAGTAACTTACAAAAAGACACGCTCAACTTTATAATTCGTATTAAATGCCGAAAAGTAACTGTAACTGGCGAATAGTGTGGCAGCACTCCGGCAAGGAGCTGCCATCTATGTTATTTTTTCTGTCACCACCAACAATTTATTAAATTTCACGTTTTATAAAGATAATAAAATTACATTAAGACATTTCTGCAATGCTAAAAAGGTTTTAAAATTAATTTAGGCGCCTATACTGATCAAACGGTGGATGGTCTATATCGATAGATATCAATGTGAATATTGTTGATAACATTATATCGGAAATACTTGGTTGTTTGTATCGATTCTAACTATGTATATCGATACTTTAAGATGGTAACGCGGACATTTGTTTACGGCACATGTTGAAATTCTTACCACATAATTTATTTTGCGAACGAGAAATATTATTGAAAATGGATAGCGAGGCAGATGACTATGAGCCCACCGATTCCGAGCAGGAGTACGATGAGGAGGAGCGTGGGCTATTGGACGACTTGCGTAAGGAGAGCAAGAAACGAGCCGAAAAGTTGCAAAACAAGAAACAGGAGATTCTAGCATTCAGCGAGAGTGATGATGATGAGGACAATGATGATGTGGCCGAGTTGATGCGAGACAGTGATATTGAGGGTGCCGAAGATGACGAACACGATCTTCCCGACACGATGGACTGGGGCAGCAACAAGCGAAGCTACTACAGCACAGATTTTGTCGATCCCGACTACAGCAGCTACAATGCTCAGGAAGAGGACATGGCCAAGACCGAGGAGGAGGAGGCCAAAAAGATACAGCTGCGTCTGGCCAAGCAGCTCAATGAGGCTGACTTTCAGCTGGATGACATGCTAGATCAGCTGCCAGCCGATGAGCAAGCATTGAAACATAAGAAGGCCACCAAAGCTATCAAGGTGACCACAGATCTGACGGGTCTAACAAAACGCGAACGCCTACAGCTGCTGCAACGCGACTCGCCTGAGCTGATGGGACTCACTCAGGGCTTTCGGCAGCATTTGAACGAGGTACAGTCGCTGACGGCACCGGTGCTGAACTATGTGCGGAATCATCAGGTGCCGATGGTGCCTGCCCTGAAGTTCGCCAGTCTCTATCAAAATGTGCTGCTCACCCACTGCTCGAATGTGTCGTTCTATCTGCTGCTTAAAGCCAAACGTCAGAGCATCAAATATCATCCGGTTGTTAAGCGACTGGTGCAGCTCAAGCAGCTGCGTAATCAATTGGAGCCGCGCTACGAGTTGTATATACGACCGCAACTGGAAGCGCTGCTGGAACGTATTCAAGATGGGGATGCATTCACCGTACTGGATATGACGCAGCGCAAGGCCAAACTGCAGATCCTTAATCAATATAATGATGAAGAGCTGAATCAATCTAATGCTGGCGAGCAGCAGAAGCAGCAACAGCTGCCGAAGGAAGCTTCTGCAGATGAGGACGAGCAGGATGAGCAGGAAGAGGAGAATGCACGACGAAGCATCACCTATCAAATGGCCAAGAATAAGGGACTAACGCCGCATCGCAAGAAGGAGCTGCGCAATCCGCGCGTCAAGCATCGTGGCAAATACCGCAAAGCCCTCATCCGGCGGAAAGGTGCCGTGCGCAGCGTACGCAAGGAAGTCAAACGCTATGGCGGCGAAATATCTGGCATCAAATCCACTGTCACCAAAAGTGTCAAATTCAAAACATAATCCATATAGCACATACATATATGTATATTCCTTGCAATTACTAAACAGCCTTACACTTTACATAGAATCCTATTTGCCTTCATATATCCTGCTGTTTCTTCTTGTAGAATGTTCAATACGAACGAGGTTTTGGCAAAAAATCTTGGATGAACGTTATTTCAATAGATTCGTTGAAACAAACTTAAAATGTTGTGACTGAATTAAATGTGCAGCCATTTCGGGATGTCTATGTTCTTCCGAGATCCTTGGAGATCTAAGCGATCTAAAATAATATATTAGCAAAGTGTTTTGGTATTGTAAAATTTTATTCAATTAGGTCACAATGATTTCTTTCCGAACAACATACATATATATATATATATACATATATATATGGGGGTGAGGAGAGCGCGATAGAAATATATGGATATTATATAAAATATATATATTCGTATCCATTAAATTCGCGAGTGTCTTCAATTCGTTTGCATGTGTGGATGTGTGTGTGTTTGTGTAAAGGAACTTATATATATAACTTAGAAGTGAAATTTGTATGGACTAGCATACCCATAGAGCGATCAGTGTGGTTCTAAAAATTGATCGATAATTTCTTATACATATTCTATATGTTAAAGAGTCTACGAAAGTCATCGTTTGACTTTGGAGCAACCGCCGGCTGTTCTGTCTCTTTGCCAGCCTCTGTATCCTTATTAGCAACGCTCTCCTTGCCATTGGCCGCATCGCCGCCGCATTTTGTACCATTAGCATCCCCACCATCTGTGCTGTTGGTGCCAGTATCATCATCAAGCTCCAGTTTCTTGCGACGCTTTGCGTCCTGCATTAACAGCTGGGTGGGTATTAGTGTTGTTTGGGAGCCCCGCTTTTCTGGTCTTGTCGTTGAAGCAGCTCCTAATGATTTTGATGATCCAGATGCTGCTGCTGCTGACGTGGATGTGCTAGGAAAATTTTTGGGCGGCGGATTCGAAATGGAAACTTCAATCTGCAAGAGAATTGAGAACCGTTTAGACATGCATGATGCAGGGATTATCAAAATATTCGTATTACGTTTAGACCGCCAATATTGACTCCATCGCCAGAGATGACTGCTTCTTGAGCCGCCTCCGGATTGTCATACTCAATGTACGCAATCAACTTTGCCTTGCGATTCCTTTGTATCCAAAGAGGAGAATTCATCTTAATTAATTGCCTTCGATTGACTACTTGTGTGTCTACTTACGGTTTGCGTACTAAACGCACATCCTGAATAGAACCAAATGCTGCAAATACCGCGGTCAAATCCATTGTGGTGCAGCGGGGATACAAGTTCTTGATAAAAATCTTATTGGGTTCCAAGCTTGCTGCAATGCAAATGATTTTTTATTAGATAGATTTAAGCTGATATGGATAACATCAACTCACATGAATACTTAAAGTTGGACTCTTTTGACTCATTTGAAGTTGCTGTTGTTGCTGCTGGTGTTGGTGGCGGTGGTTTCTTTTGTTTCTTCTCCTTCTTGGTTGTCGGCACAATCTCCCTATTGGCTGCCTGTTGTGTGGGCTTTTTGCCTGGCTTTTGGTAAGGCGTTTGCGCTCGATGCTGCCACGGCGCACTGAATTTAGAATCCATGCAGGTGTACGGCACACCATACAACTGGCACTTCGCAATGGTCTCGAAGGTGCCAAAGCAACGCTCCTTGCACCGATAGAGCTCCAACACGGCATCTAGATTTGATGGCCTTGATAGCGACAATAGAGCCTTTGCAGTATGGCGCTTGTATTATGGCCGCCATTGAATTCACTTTCCATTTGGGCGTAGGCCAGCCATAAGTGGCTCTTAACATCGCTGCCCGGATAATCTACAAAGAATGGGACAAGTGTTAGTATATAATATGAAACACATTATACACTTTATACGCACTCAGTATTTCGGACCAGATGGCGGCGCCATTGCTTGGACTTTTTAACTTTGCATACTCGACCGCTGCCCAGAGCTGGAGCACTTCGTAGCTAGTGTCTGCTTGGTCGCCATATTGTATGGAGAGACGATTCCAAACCACACGGAATGCGACGCGCAATTGATCCACCTATCGAACGATTTGATATATTTTGAAATATTATACAAATTTGTAATTTGCAATAAGCACCTGTTCTTTATCGTCAACGTTGGTCTGTCGCACTCGATAGGCCAAATAGTCGAGATGCAGCTCAACGGTCATTTTTATAAACTGGTTGATGCGCTCAAACAGTCGGTTCAGATTCTTATCAATACGATCCAAGCTGAAATCATAATGTTCCATCAGTTGCAAATACTTGTGATTGATCTCGATGGTTGGCTTTGTACGCAGAGCGCGTTCGATAAGCTGGAGGGGCTTGCTGCTCAAATAGCCATCGTTTATCGCCGAGTGGATCTCCTCTTTGTCGTTAAACTCCAACGGCTTCGACATATATGCTATGTAATCCAACCAGAGGTTAGAATTAGTGGGATATTTGGCCAGACCCCGCTCGTAAAAGTATTTGCCCAAAGTTAATTTGATTTTCGTCGAGATGCGCAAAGTGTTTGCCTTACAGATGTAACTGTCCAGCATCAAGGCTGTGCTACTACAATATAATTTGTTCTTGAAATCAACAATAAGCTGCTCAATCGAATCCAACTGTTCCTCGTTGCAATTCCAGGTGACACACTGGGCGCACATCGTTTTCTCAACCAACTCAATTTCCTCCTGATCTGATAGCAAGCTCAGCGCTTCACGCAAATCCTTGATGAAATCAACACGCTCTAGCCCATAATCAGCCAGTACCTTGGCCCACATCAAATGCTGCTCCACCAGTTGCTCCTCAAGCAAACTCTTCACAACAAACTCAGCAAGTGGTTCATCTGTGTTTCGTGTGAGAAAGATTCAAAACTAAATTATTGAAATATAAAATTTTGTATAGAACTCACCATAGCGACTGGATAGGGCTCTGGCGCATTTACTATGAAAGACTGCGCACTCCGCTGGTGTTTGGGTGACCACCTTTAGGGCCTTAAGATATTTGAGCCAGATATGCGGCGGTATAACGAAATGCTGATCGAACTCTGTGATGGCCATCTCAATCTTCTCAAAGACATTCAATTCGCTGTAATTGGTAAAGAGTGAGAGAGTGGCCAGAATTAGCATCGAGACCATATACACATATCATTGAAAATCGTAAGAATTCAAAAGGGATTCCGCTTACAATGCTGTCACGCACAGTTCCATGAACTGTTTGTAATTTTTTCCCGGCATGGCCAGTTGCACAGCAAAATCATCCTCCAGCGTGTCTTCTTCTTGCGACTGCAAATCACTGTCGCTGTCGCTCAGCGAGTTAACAATGTTAACATTGCTCTCTGAACTCGATTCTGCACGGACACTGCCGCTGTCATCGCTGTCAGAATCCGAGCTGATTTCGATTGGCTGCTCGATTAGGATGTTGTCTGGTTGGGCCTCGCCAGCTGGAGCGTTCTTCTGTAAGAATTTCATGTTTTGCAATTGTTTTGCTTAGAAAACCTAATATTGTAATACTGTGAACTTACATCAGCTTCACTGGCCATTTCACAAAAATGTCTATTATTGAAATTTGAGAATTGGAAATGAACTTTTTTTCGGGTTTCTTCCGTATTTATTAATGGTTGCCAGCCGTTCGATTTGGGAGTTATTTGACCAGTCTACTGAGTTATAAAAAAAAAACACTACAGGCTGAAATAATTGTTGTGTGTTGACACGAACTTGCTTAATTGCAAATTTTATTTTTGTCAACATCTCCTGTTTAAGTTTTCTGGTGAGTGAATGCTGATGACAACTAGAGATGTCCTAATTGTGTTGATAAGCGTTCGCAGTCACACAGCCAATAGCCAAGTATCGATGATTTTGTTCACAGTTTTCAAATAATATGATAATTTGATTGAAACGCCAGCAAAAATGAATCAATTATAATTGTTCGAGAATTGGTATCGTCTCCTATTGAATTGAATTTAATTTTTTCTCCCCTATTTCGTTAGTTTTTCTCTACGTTGAGATGCAACAGAGTGATTCGTATTAGCAATTTGTTATGCCTTGCCTGTCGAAAGCACCAATATATCACTCAGCCGGCTAGCTATCGGCTCAGGGGTAGTTCGACCGCGATATATTGGACGGCAAGTTAACAAAAAAAATTTGTATTCTTTTATAAATAAAAAAAAAACAAATATTTCCATCAAACCAGTCCGCTCGCTGCTGTGGATATTGTACAGCCTGCGTGTCCCTCCCTTCCTTGTGATTCCTCCTCTAAATTTCCTGGAGAAATTCCCTTTCGCAATTATTCCTTTTTCGTTTGTTTTTTATGCCCGCATCTCACCCAATCACATTGATTTACCACATCAATTTCCTTTTTTTTAGACTATTTAATTTACAATTCATATGATACATGTAACATCGTGATGCCTAACCTTTTGTTGGCCAACACTAAATTCTCTTATATATATTTAATACAATTTTATCTATCTACCTAATTTAAAGCTTACAAAACATTTATTTTTTTTTTCTTTTCTATTATTTGGCTTCAAAAGTGCGCATCACTGATTGACAAAATGAGCATCACTATTGCCTTGGTTAGGGCCGATCAGCTGTCTTTGGCTCACTCTGCCGCAATTAGGCGGGAACAAACTCACTGATGTGTTGATACAATCCGAGTCGTCACACGGTCTCCGGGCTTTGATATCTTGGTTCCTGAGTCCAGTTGGCCGATTTCCTCCTTGATGGTGGCGATGAATAGTTCCGCCTGTTGCTGCCGCCGGTTTGTATGTTTTTATTTTATTTATTATTTTGACTTTTGTTTTATATTTATTTATTTTACATTATTTTACTTTATAATTTTTTTACAACCAATTTATTTGAATTTCTTTTTAAATCCTCGCAGCGCATGCGCACGCGGTCCTTCTTTCTTCTCCTTTTTTCTCTTTTTATTCTCCCTATTTTTCTGAAGATGGTCCCCCATCGATATCCTTCGCCTATCGATCTTTCTGCCGACCATAACAAATTCGAGCAATCTGTGAGCCGATACAATGGGCAAACTATCGTATTATCGTTCAGTTCTTTTTCATGTTATCGAGAAGGAAAACATTTTAATGCTATGCAGCCCTGCGTTTGCGTCTGTGATTCCCGCCAAAAGTAGAAGTGCATACGGCGTGCGACGGCTGCAAATCGCCTGCTTGTTGTTTCATTGTTAAGTTATTGTTGAAAATGGCACACGACGCGGAACAGTACATTAAGGATATACAGCGAGAGTATGTGGATTTTCTGGACGATGACGAGGATCAGGGCATCTATGCGGGCCACGTGAAGGACATGATTGCCGAGAAGAGCAAGCGCCTGGTTGTCAATATCAACGATCTGAAGCGCAAGAATCAGCAGCGCGCCCTCGGTCTGCTGAGCAACGCCTCCGATGAGCAGCTGGCATTTGGGCGTGCCCTCAAGGAATATGTGTCGACTGTCGATCCCAGCTATGCGAAAGGGCACGAGGATTTCTTTGTGGGGTTCGAGGGATGCTTTGGCAATCGTCATGTGACGCCACGTTCCCTGACATCCATCTATTTGGGCAATCTGGTGTGCGTGGAGGGCATTGTCACAAAGGTATCGCTCATCCATCCAAAGGTTGTGCGCAGCGTCCACTATTGTCCAGCGACGCGCAAAGTGCTCGAACGCAAATACACAGATCTGACCTCATTCGAGGCAGTGCCATCGAGCGCCGTTTATCCCACCAAGGACGATGATGGTAATCTGCTGGAAACCGAATTCGGTCTGTCTGTCTATAAGGATCATCAGACACTGACCATACAGGAAATGCCAGAGAAGGCGCCAGCTGGACAATTGCCACGCTCTGTGGATATTGTTTGCGATGATGATCTTGTCGATCGCTGTAAGCCAGGCGATCGGGTCCAAATTGTTGGCAATTATCGCTGTCTACCCGGCAAGCATGGCGGCTACACCTCTGGCACCTTTCGCACTGTACTCCTGGCGAACAATATCTCGCTGCTCAGCAAGGATAGCAATTTGGATATCTCAAGAGAGGATATTATGCTGTGCAAGAAACTGGCCAAGAACAATGATATATTTGAGCTGCTCAGCAAGAGTCTGGCACCGTCCATCCATGGCCATACGTTTGTTAAGCAGGCCATACTCTGCCTGCTGCTTGGCGGTGTCGAGAAAGTCCTGCCCAATGGCACTCGCCTCCGTGGCGATATCAATGTGCTGCTCATCGGTGATCCGTCCGTTGCCAAGTCGCAGCTGCTCCGCTATGTGCTCAATACGGCACCGCGTGCCATACCAACAACGGGTCGCGGCTCCAGTGGCGTTGGTCTAACAGCTGCCGTCACCACGGATCAGGAGACGGGCGAACGTCGACTGGAGGCCGGAGCGATGGTCCTTGCCGATCGTGGCGTTGTCTGCATCGATGAGTTTGACAAGATGAGCGACATTGATCGTACGGCCATTCACGAGGTGATGGAACAGGGACGCGTCACCATTTCCAAGGCTGGCATACATGCCTCCCTCAATGCACGTTGCTCGGTGCTGGCGGCCGCTAATCCTGTCTATGGACGTGTAAGTACCTCAATCAACCTACATTCTCGTCAAGCACAAAGTTAATGTTTAGAATAATAATATGCTGCACTTTTAGTACGATCAATATAAGACGCCAATGGAGAATATTGGTTTGCAGGATTCGTTGCTCTCCCGTTTCGATTTACTGTTTGTCATGCTGGACGTCATTGATAGCGATGTGGATCAATTGATATCCGATCATGTGGTGCGCATGCATCGCTATCGTAATCCTAAGGAGGCCGATGGCGAACCCCTGACCATGGGCAGCTCCTATGCCGATTCGCTGGCCTTTGTCTCCAACACGGAGGAAGTAAGTTAACAATCCCTTTACCATTTTAATATTAAAATGTTGCTTTGCAGAAAAAGGATACAGAGGTATATGAGAAATATGATGCACTGCTGCATGGTAAATCGCGCAAGCGCCACGAGAAGATACTCTCCGTGGACTTTATGCGCAAATACATACACATTGCCAAGTGCATGAAGCCGAAGTTGACGGAACAGGCCTGCGAGGCTATCGCCAATGAATATTCCCGTTTGCGCTCCCAGGAAGCTGTCCAATCGGATGTCGCACGCACACAACCAATAACGGCGCGCACGTTGGAAACACTGATCCGTTTGGCAACGGCGCATGCTCGCGCCCGCATGTCCAAAACGGTGACCATGGACGATGCCCATGCGGCAATCGAGCTGGTGCAGTTTGCCTACTTCAAGAAGGTGCTGGAGAAGGAGCGTGCCAACAAGCGGCGTCGCAATGGTGCCTCCTCCGACGAGGAAGAGCAAGAGCAGCAGCAGCCGCCGACGTCGTCGTCGTCATCCACAGATGCCACACAGACACGTTCACCGACGCGTCGCCCCAAACGCACACGCGTCGAACCAGACACGGATGCCATGTACGACAGTGATGAGGAGGATATTGAGACGCCACAGCCAGATGCTGGCGATCTGACACGTCGCGAGACGCGACGCTCGCTGCCGTCAACCACTGTCAACGGCACGGCCAGTCAAATCGGTACGGAGACCACCTCCAGCAGTGGCGCCACTCCAACGCCCGCCACAATTACGGATGCACGTCTGGGTGTATTTAAGAATGGATTGCAACGTTTGTACCGCGAGGCACGCGAACAGAGCTTGCCGCTGCATCGCATCACGGCTGCCATCAATGAGAATAATGCGGACCAGTTTTCGCCGGGTGAAATCGATGCCGCAATGCATCGCATGACCGAAGACAATCAGATAATGGTCGCCGACGATATTGTCTTTCTCATCTAATCGTCTCCCCATACACATATTTATATCCGAAGCATACACACATTTCCAGCGCATACCTGCATATATCAATATACACACATCCAATTTGATTGTGTCTCCCTCATTTCCGTACAAATTTTTATGTTTTTTTTTTTTTTTGGTTTATCTGAATGTTTATAATAAAAACTTGGAGCTCTCATGCAATTCAATGTTATCTCTTTTTTTTTGAAGTGGTTTCTCTTGTCAGCCATTGACAGCGTTGGATAAGATTTGATTATTGGCGAGGCAACAGTTTCAGATTCCAAAACTTTAATTTTATAGAATTTCACTTTTATTTTATTAGGTTATTTTTTTCTTGATTAATTTAACATTTGGAGTATTTTATGACCAGTTATTTTGTAAGTTTCACATTAAAAAAAAGAAGAGAATTGCTTAGCTGCAAAAATGATGTAACTTAAAAACTAAAAGTGAATTGCGATTGTAACTGGACACTGGAATTAGCAGATTACAAAAAAAAGGAAGTTAAAATTGGAAGAGTTTTGAATAAAATCAATTTCAGCCTTATTGCAAAATGGGTGAAAAAAATGCAACCCGCAGATTAATATCAACTGTTGTTTATTTTTACATTAGTAGGAATAGTTTTGGCAATGCCTTGAGCTTGGCCAGAAAAAAGAGGATATTTGGCTGGCAGTGCAGACAAAATCTAGCCAAGTTAACACTTAGTACATATACAAATTGAAGTAATTGGTTAAAAAGATTTGTGGGATATGGTTTAATTTGTACACAAAATTGATGAGCTTACATGCTAAATATGTATATATAGGGATATATAAGGAAACGAACAAACTACACACACACACACACACACACACATACAGACACATACACATACAGACACACATACACATACAGACACACATACACATACAGACACACAGATTTAAATATAATGTATATATTATATCTATCGTCTAGCCTTGATTTGAGATGAATTTTCTATTGTTTTAACTGCCTGGCAATTGAACAACTAAATACATATAGAGTATATATATTTATATATATATATATAGAAATAAAAATTGGGATTTTTATTTAGCTAACGCGCACTCTGCACACACAAACGATCAAAGATTCACAACATTCTTCAAATCGGAGGGCAGCAGTCCCTTCATGCATTCAATTTGGGCTCGTATCTGCCGCTGGGTCATATTCGCATTGGCCTCCACCTGTGTTTTATCACTGTAGAGATTCAGTTTTTGTTTCAATTTGAGTATCATATCAATTATTTCCACCTCCTGCTTGTCGTGCGCCCAGTGCTCCAGATTGGCTTCAGAAAGCGCCTGCAGCTGTAGATCCTGCAATGTTAGCTGCAGCTCCCGATGCCGCGACTCATACCAACCACGGAAATTCGATGAGCGAAAGAAACGCCTATAGAGTCCCTTCCAATCGCCCTTGAGAGTGGACGTGAGCTGTGGGCCAGCCGTTTCGAGTGTGGCCAGAAAATCATCCAGCTTAAATGAGCTGGCATTGGGCGCCGACTTGAATGGACTAATGTCCTTCTGCAATGGCATCAGCGATGCCATATAACGCTCCAGCGGTATCATAAAACTCTGCGTCAGCTCCAATAGATGTCGACGGATTAGAGCCGTCTGCACATGATCCGGTCGTTTCGTCTTCATGCCAAGCAGCACCTTCTTAATCAGCGCCTTATCCTTCTTCAAAAATGGCCTATACTTGCTGTGCAATCCAGCGATGGAATTGTCCCCAGCTGCACTCAGGCTGCCATTCAAAATGTTGTGGTTGTTGCCAGTCGGCTGCGGAGGCGGCAATTTTGAATTGTTCGCGTTTCGCGTATTCTTGTGCAACTGCATCAGCTCCTGTTGCTGCTGCTGCATATTCTTCTGCAAGTGCACAAAAGATCCAGTTAAATAACTAAGGGACAAAGAGAGATTAGGTATATGTATTGCTTATATTACCTGATTGTCCACCAAGCGCAGCATGTGCGGCCAATCTTTGAGCAATTTGACAAAGAACGGATTTGTGACACCCAGAATCACAGCTGGTATGGAACGATTGACGCACTCTTGTGTAAACTCCCTGAATTCGCTGTCGTGTATTGTGAAATATGGACGCGCCTCGGCACAGTATTCGAGTGGTGCTATCAACGCAACCAGTGCCTGAACCATGTGTGAGCAATCTGCCGGTGAGGTACCCACAACGACAATCGGTTCCGCCGTAATTATCAGCTCCCACAGCGTATACAGATGCTCCATTACAAAGCTGAGACTATGAAATAGCTCCAATTCGTTGACGGAAGCGAGCACCTTAACCGATTTGGGCATCTCTGGCGGCGACGACGACGACGACGACTGTTGCAGTTGTTGTTGCATCTCTAGCTGCTGCTGATTGGTGGAATTCAATTTGCGAGTGCTGCTACTGGCCTTGGGTATGCAGATCTGATAGTCACACTCCAGTAGTGGCAACTTAAGCATCGTTCCAGTCAACAACAACGGCCACTGGGTGTTGATCTGTTGACAGGCTCTGTGGAGCAGCCCGTTGCCCTCTTCGAAATATTTGGGCGCAAGCTGGGCGAGTACATCATAGTACAGATTGAAGAAGGGCAAACGTGTGATGATAATTAGACTCTTCTGGAAGTAGCCGCGCGGCAAATTGGGATCACGTTTCTGGCGAAAATAAACGAAGCCCCAATAGTGGCTGCTGTCGTAGCGCATTGCTGGCGCACAATCTCCGTTGTAGTGTAGCATCGTTGTCGGTGTTTTGTGTTTTGCGGTGTTTAGCGCACGGAGACGCATATGGAACTTGGTGTCGCCCATGCAACCGGAATTGGAGTCGGGAAAGGCCATGTAGCAAATGTTGCTCACCTCCTGTTCTGTGGGCATAAATGACGGCGGATAAACGTATTCCAGCGCCTGGCCTAGATTCAGATCGAAGGTGACAACACAGATGCAATGCATCCATTGTGATAAGCGTATCCAATCCTCCTCTGTGGATACGCTTTTTGTTGTTGTTCTGCTCCTCTCGCCAGCAGCATCCCTGTCTGCATCGGCAGCTGTTGCCTCGATGTTCATGATTTGTAAATCTTTGGCCAATATTGGTTAGATTGTTAAACTCTGCATGTAAATTGCTTAATTCTACTTTCACTTCAATGTTAATGTTATTTATTTGTGCTTGGCGAGCGAGAGTTGCCATGCATTTGTTGTCGCTCAGTCTGGCAACGCTCTCTCTCGCCCTCTCTTTCTCTCATAAGCACGCTCAACGATAACTTATCGACTTTCACATCACTAATCGATTTGACCGCCGATAGCTTAAGCTGTCTCAAATAGTGCAAATAGTTTGAATGACCTTTAAAATCGTACTTTAATATTATGATGTAAAAAATGGATCATCAAAAATGGCAAGACATTAAATAAACCGATCGAGAGAATATTTTAAGTATACCATTGGTTTTTATTTTAAGCTTCAATTTTGTTCATTTAAGAAAAGCAGTTTATGTTTATTTGCAGCACTGGTATTCAATTTAACATAATTCAACTGTGTCAGTCAAACGACGATTCTGTGGGATGATATCGACGAGTGTTTTATAGTCAAGCTCGAACTGCTCGAATTTATCCCAACCGCTTAAATTGTAATCCAGGTGGAATTCGAGATGCATTCGCAGAGCCGGCACACGTTCCACACAAAACTTAAAATCGGTATTCGTATTTACGTGATGCAATATGGCCTTGGCTATCTGAAAGTTGTACGTCTTCACATTTATGCCTTAAACCCTTAAAAAATCTGCGGTTTGTTACAGTATGCACATATCACAACGGGCCAAATATGGCCTAAGTGTGTCAGCCTACCGGGCTGACCGCTGATACAACAACAACCTACAGTATGCACAACCAGGTCATATATCTCCTTGTAGACAAACTGTAAGCACTAGCCGCTTATATCCCGGAGTATAGCCTGGACGCATTGATAAGCATTGTTGATGGCTTTTACTGTGGTCGACTCCTCCCGTTTCTGATGCTCTTCAGTGTCAAATAGTGATGCTTATTGAACTCCAGTTCCATGCTGTTCACTGGCTGCAATAGCATTCCATTCGAATTTATAATGGCAATGCACGTCCAGATTATCCGATTCCAGCAGAATGCCCGAAAAGTTATCTTTCAAACTGAAAAAATCAAAGCGCGAACGCAACGGATCCAGAAAGCGGGGAATGGTATTTAGACAGTCAATCAATGTATATGCCTACAACGTATGAAATAACCAATAATAGAACAATATTACAATATCTTAAGGTATTTATGCTTACCATTTTTGCGGACATTTGAAAGCTTTAATCTGCCAGGATATTTGCAATGGGGGCTGCATTTGCGGATCCACATATGTAGTGCCAAGTAAATACCCCTGGCAATGATAGCTCACCTTGACAACATTGCACAGATTGATGGGAACGCTACTACGAGGCATCAAATAAAAAGAGATAGAGACATTGAGTGTGTGTGACAGAGAGAGTAGAGACAAGTGTTGATTCGTCTCTGTTCCTCCCACATACCAATTAACAATACGAATGCATTCGCATATGTAGGGGAATTGCTTGACGACACGCTTGTCCTGGTAGACGCCCTTCACCTCGCTTGCGGCGCACTCGAAGAAGTGTTCGAGCATTGAGCACAGGCTGTCCAAATATTGCTCCTTATTGCTCAACAAAATTATGTTAAGCAGTAGGCACAGCCATGGCTCATAGTCCAACTCTTCACTGGATTTGAGTGCGGTCAGTCAATCTATTACCGGAATGCTGTCGGATGTGATGAGGAAACCCAAATTATTTGGGTTAGTTTTAAAGATGCGCAAATGTGGATGATCCGCTGCACAGCAAAGGGAGAATGAAATCATAGATATATATGCATATATACGATCCGTCATGTATTGAGGGATAAAAACCGACTTTGCTGTCATCCTTGTTGTCGACCACATGGCCAGCCACTTGGTAAAGCGCTTTCTGTGTTCGTATTGAATTTTTTGTGAATTTAATCAATTGCATTATTTTGCTGCTGACAAAAAGACACCTTTAAGACGAAATATTCGTCCTATTGTGAATTCATTTATATGTCCAGTTTTGCTGTGCTGCGTCAAGCTCACTGTGGCCACAGTTTTTTTAATGAAAACATTAAAAATCACAGTGTGACCGCAAATGGCAAATAATAAAATATTCCACAAATTACCGATTTAAATACTAAAATGTAATGAGCTCCATGAACTAAAGTAGATTTAACAGTTCGCAGGTTCAGAATCATTTTATAGTAAAGTGTTAAAGTAAAAGCTATACATTAAATAGTTTATGAAAATTTCAAAATAACGAATAATATTTTGATTGTTATATCTGCTATCTTTTCATTTGTGGAACCTATTATCTAAAATTCGAGCTTGCGAAAATCGATTACAATCGAACATTAACATAAGCTATCGCACATCGCTATTAGAAATATCGGCTGAGTGCAGAATACCATCACAAATAAGCATTTGAGGCAAACAAAGTAGAAATTTGCCAAAATGCCGATTGGAGTTTTTAAATCTGTGCGCGAAGTAAGCAGCGAGGATACGGTAAGAAAAATAAGCTACGCCAAAAAAAAACAAAGAAAATCTTTAGAGTTTTGGTGTCGTTGCAGGTGCATGTAGCCGCCAATTTACTGCAGCAGAATGCCGCCAAAAAATGGAAGACGCAGGGAAATGGTGAGAAATGCGCTTATGTTATCCTTGAATTCGAGGAAGCGCAGCAAATAACTGGAATCGATATTGGCAACGAGCATGCGGCATTTATTGAGGTGCTCGTGAGTAAAACTGGCTGCCAGCTAGCTGACTTCAAGGAGCTTCTGCTCTCCAGTTCATTTATGACACCGATCGAGAGCAAAAATTCGAGCAATTTGAATCGTGTACGTTGCTTCAGTGGCGAAGCTTTGAACCCCGCAACGCTGGCAGAGAAATGGAAGCTGGTCAAGATTGTGTGCACGCAGCCATTTAACAAACATGTCCAATACGGTCTATCATTTATCAAGCCACATGTTAGCGGTGCAGCTAAGCCGAAATCCTTGCTGCCCGACAGGTTAAAAAACAATCTGCTTACTGCTGGTGGTGGTGGTGGCTTGGCCTTTAAGTTGCGCGAAGAATCCCCAGATTCAGAGCCAGATGGCAAGGCATCCTTGTCGCTGTTTCAGCGCTGGAAGGCGACACGAAATGACGACAATGACGCCAAAGCCGCTGTTAGCACAGCAGCTGCGATACGAGATGCTGGCTCGCCGGCTGCACTGCGGCGACGAAGTGATGCACGATCAACATTATCGTCCATTATTAAAGTAGCCGATGCCCCAGCCTCTGCCTCTGTATCTGAAGCCACATCAAGCAAGACGGAAACGAAGTCTCGCTCTGCCAAACAGCTGCAGGAAAAGGATCACAAGTTGGATAAACAAAAGCCGAAGACAGCAATGTCCACTGCTACCAAGGAATCTCCTAGAGCGACTGTTGTGTCCGCACCGAAGCGCATGTCCTCATCGTCAGAGGACACTCCAAGCAAGCCAGCTAAAAAGCAAAAAACCTTAATTGAGAAACCGACACAATACGTGCCATTTGATCAGCTGCTGCGTGGCGTTGTTTTGGTCATCAGTGGCATACAAGTTAGATTATTATTAAATATATATTTATTGTATATATTGAAGCTAATATATATTTCTATATACAGAATCCAGATCGTGCGGACTTGCGGTCAAAGGCCTTAGCGTTAGGCGCTACGTACAAAGCAGATTGGGAATCGGGCTGCACGCATCTGATGTAAACTAATATATCATCATTGTGTGATTGATTTACTGATCTTAGACTTTAAACTGATCAAGAATTCTTTATTTATTCCTGTCAGCTGTGCGTTTCGGAATACACCCAAATACAATCAGGTGAGGGGCAAGGGAAAAATTGTGACTCGCAACTGGATCGAGAAGTGTTATGCGCTTAAAAAGTATTTGCCCTGGCGTCGCTATGCACTGGACACCAACGAAGTGGGTCAGCCCGAAAGCGATGAGGAGGTGTTCGATGAATCTCTGAAACCTATCGTAATGGACAAAGCTGATGCTGCTTCTGATGTTGACAAGGATGTGAAGATGGTTGTAGCGGCAGTTGACACAAACATTGAGGACATGCTGCTGCATGGACATTCTTCTGGCCCCGACACAGAAGATGAGCTCGAACGTGTTGCTCAACGTAAGTTGTGAATATTGGAATCGCTTGTTAAATTCTGCTAACCTTCACCTTCAATTGACAGAGAATAAATTGAAGAAAATGTGTAACACTAAGCAAAGCAGCAGCAAAGAAAACATCCTTAACGACTCAAACAAGAACAAGATCGTCGAAAACGATTCGAAATCTTCGGACATTTATGAAGTTAGCACTGATGAAGAGGATTATCTGAAGGAATTACAAAATGAATTGCAGTAAAGTTAAAAGTGTCAACTGATTTTGAATTCTATATACCACGTTACTAACTTTAAATTATTACATGTGATAGATAAGATAGATGTATATAGTCAAGAAAGAATATTTTAATTTTTTACTGTCTTTTTTTTTAGTACTTGAAAATGCGCGCTCAAAGAATGCTAAATGTTATGTTATTTACATGCGTTGGTCACTCTCAACTGTTAAACATCAAAGACTTAAAAGTCCAAAACAAAAAAGAGGATTGTAATGTTACTATTCAATAGTTTTGGTATTTTTATATATATCGATTAGTAATTGCTTACAATAGCGTGAGCATGTCCTTGTCGATATCGATATTTAATAATAAATTATATATGTTATCAATTCTGTCAAAGAATTTTAAAGCAAAAAGTACAAACGAGTATTTGAGTGGAAAGTTGAATAATGTCAGTGTATTATTTTTAATGCACTTTAAATTGCAGAAATTGTTTTTTTGCATTGCATGCACAAAATGCACTAAAAAATACCGATAATAAATATGGCTTAGCAATTCACAAACAGATTTTGATTAACATATGCTCTCCGCTCTAAACACAATTATCGTCTTCCTTGCCTGCGGGACTCCGATTATGCTCCCAAAGACAACATAAAGGACACACACACAAGCCACCACACATAGGATTGGCAGGAATTTGTTTTAATTTTTAATTTGTGCATTTGGTTACAGTTGTCACCTTAGACTTGGAACCGAAACTACACTGCGTATACGTGTTGCTTGTTTATATACGGTATTTGCTCAATATATTAATATATATATATATATATATATATATATATATATATATATATATATATATTATGTATACATATATTTATGTATAGATATATTTAATACATATGCACACAATTAAGTTAAACACCGATTGATTTCAAGTCAAACAAAACTACAAAAAATATGTATATTTGCGCTGCGTGTTGAAAAATCGATACACGATACACATAAAAATAAAGTGTTGATTGTTTTTATTGTTTGTTTGTTGCAGGATGTGTGCCTAAGGATAACAACTGGAAAACAACTGTAGGCTGTGTGAGTAAAAGCTAAATGCGAATTTTCACAAAAAAATTATGTTGTTTTCATTTTCAGTTAAAAATATTAAATAGAAAAGTACGAAAAAGGAGCAAAATTAACAACAGTTGAAAATGGGTAACGAAACATCGCTGCCAATGGACATGTGCTCCAATTTCGATGCGGATGAGATCCGAAGGCTGGGCAAACGTTTTCGCAAACTCGATCTGGACAATTCGGGGGCATTGAGCATAGATGAGTTTATGTCGCTGCCGGAATTGCAGCAGAATCCATTGGTGCAGCGAGTCATCGATATATTCGATGCCGATGGCAATGGCGAAGTCGATTTCAAGGAATTCATCCAGGGCGTCTCACAGTTTAGCGTGCGGGGCGATAAGCTGTCAAAATTACGTTTCGCCTTTCGCATTTATGATATGGATAATGATGGCTACATCTCCAATGGCGAACTGTTTCAGGTGCTCAAAATGATGGTTGGCAACAATCTGAAGGATACGCAATTGCAACAGATTGTCGATAAGACCATATGTTTTGCCGACAAGGATGAGGATGGCAAAATCTCATTCGATGAGTTCTGCTCTGTGGTCGGCAATACGGATATTCATAAGAAAATGGTTGTTGATGTTTAAATTAAAAGCGGCCAATAGATACACAAACACTATCGACTAACGGTATACCTACTAATGAATTTCAACATTTTTTTTTCATTACAAATTGATGTACCTATTTATGTATATGTAAATTGCATATGTGCTATACGAAAGTACACTCAGAATGAATCCATCAGTTGTTGTACGAAAATCAAGTGCAAACCATTGTTAATAGCCAATCTAAGATTGAAATTCCAAGAGCAGAGTACGTTATTCAAAAATTTCAAGAATTTTTCTTTGTAATTCTGAATTTCTTAAATCTTAATCTGTTTCGAGATTAGTTAACTACAATTGCTTATAAATTAGGAACTTGGCTATATTGAGATCGATATATTGATCAAATTTGAACCAAGTTCAAGTTCTTAAATCCATATTGACATCCACATCAAATAACACAAAATTAGCATAATTCAAGAATTTCAGTTCTTCAGCAAAGATCTACTAATATGCCGTCTTTGTTTTTTTTTTATGTGTTTGGTATGTGTGTTTTTGTCGATTTTAGAATCAGTAATGATTTATACTAATTTAAGAATGATAGGAACTCAAACCCGGCCGCACTTGAATTGAGAACAGCGTGTTTTGTGAGTGTACGTGTATGTGTGTGTAATTATTTAAGTGCGTGCTAACTGGCACAACAACAACTAACACAATACGAATAACTAAAAAAAAAAAACAAAAAAATCAAAAGACATACTTAAAAATAACAAAAAATGAAAAAGAAGGCAAGGAAAATATGAACTATGAACTCGAATTTTATACCAATTTCCAAATTGACCTATTCCCAAGAACGAGTACGTTGAGCGTGTGAAATGAACATGTGGGAAACTGGTATGGGACTTAAGCACTTTTATCCCAACGCCTCCCCCTCTCAATATACATTTTCGCTCTCAATCTCACTCCCCCTCCCCCCAAAGTCTAATCTCTGTGTGTCTTATAACATCCCAAAAAGAAATGAAGCATCATTAAAGCTAGCTGCTAATCCAAAACTATGTATGTGTTTTGTGCCTGGCTCATTTCCGGATTTTAAACTGATTTTTACTATGCAGGGCAGTGCAAGGAGTTTTGATTATCGATAGCATATATTTTAAATTTTTTTCTTCTTGGTTTTCTTTTTATTAATTTTAGATATATTCTATTCAAGTTTATATTTGTAAACTAATTAAATGTTGTGTATTAAGTATGAATGTACAAAACAATTCCTTGAATATTGTTCAACTAAAATAAAACTGTAAACTGAAAATGAATATGAAATTCTCTCAATCTCACTCCATCTTGTATCTGTTTTTTGTTTTATGTTGTTTTTTTTTTGTGGCAAGTGGAATCGTTGTCGCGTGTGGAATGGTTCAATTATGGTCTAAGTACAACCACCTCACCACCTGCACCCATCCACATTGGGATTTTAGTGGCAACCTACATATACATCATTATTGTAATATATGTATATAGATAAACATAAAAAGTAACTATTCGGGAACAGTGGCCGAACCTGAAGCCGAAACCGATATCAAACTCGTTTTCGTTTTCGTGGCCAATCGAATTTTGGGTTCACCCCCTTTGGTCAACGATTAACTACTCACTTTGTAGGTCACCGATTTTATTTCTCACTCTCTGCGTGTGTGCCTGTGTGTGAGTGTGTGTGTGTGTTTTAGGGATGTGTTCTTACAAAGATTTTCAACACACGACAAAAGTAGGTTTTTTTTTTTTTTAGATAGACACGTATACCACATAAAAATTGATACAAAGCTGTAGATTCAACTCCATTTATCTTATCTACTTGATCAGATTTGCTGTTGTTTTTGCAAATATTGAGATCATTATGCATATGATTTATTCGTGAGTTTCGTGCTTGTGTTATTATTCTATTTTTTTGTTGTTGTAATATCCAGCAAATTTGTGGAGCACAATTAAAGCTCTTATGTGCGTGTGTGTGTATATTAGAGAATGCAGTCAGGCCGGGGAAATGGGCGTTTAACTGTCTATATATATATATGTACACATATATATATTTGTTTAGGCTGAAGCCCTGACACCACCCACCCGATACACATACATAATTATATATGTATATATATATACTATATAGTTATGGAATGCTTGGTATCAATAAATTATTATCTGGTGTCTGTCGCAGCGCTGCTGTTGAATTTAACTCGTAAATCATATGCGACTATAACATTTTTGTTGTGCTCCTGTGAAAATGACACAGTCCAGAAATAATGCTGGCCAACGTTTTCGGTTGTGTAGTCGACAAGGGCTGACCTTTTTCGTATATTAATTGGGATTGATTAATGTCCTCCAATTTTGGAATATTCGTAACCCGGTGCGCCTTGTCGCTGCCACTGCCACTGGCTACTGCTCCCCTGCCCTTGCTGCTATTGCCTTCTGGCCCCCAGCTTGAGCTGATTGACCTTCGCAGCTCCTCTTGACTTTCTATCTTGTTTGGTCATTAATCCTTGTGACTTGACTTGTGCTTAACTATTTATACTCCTAGTTTCGTCCACATCAAGTTTAGATCAATTGCTTTGAGCGAGTACATAATATATTTATTACTTAAGTCATATGTTTATCAAGTTGCCATTTGTTTGAGCTTCTACTGCTTCAATTACTTAACAACTTGATAAGGCTTCAAATTGTGCTCCCCCAGTGATTGTTGCTTATAAAATCGAATTTGTTGGTTTCATAACAATTCCATTCGAAATGCTCATAACAATTCCATTCGAAATGCTCAAAAAACAGTTCTGATTCTATGCTGATTATGTTTACATATCCAGCATGTTGTGTTGACTTATTGTCTGTTTTCTGCCCCCAATTGTTTTCGCTTGTAATTTGTAAAAACAAATGCCATCGAGCAATCGATTAACACTTGGGAACTTTAATTAACTTTTAGTCGCAGTAATGTGTATCAATCAAAATATGTTCTTAGCAAATCCCAATCAGATTCTTTGCACTTGATCGAGCCAATTAAAATAGCTATGTTAACTGATTCCAATAACGTGTGTCTGTGTGTGGGTGTTAAGATTATGCTCATTGCTAAGTATTTTGATTGATGAGCTGCTCGCTTGCGCCCAAATCGCATCTCATTTGCATATTCAATTTGTCCCAAATCATTTTTACAGCATACTTTTTGGCGTATTTAAGTAATTTATAATGTTTTGCATCTGGTTTTTGGTTATGCTTATATTTGACTAGAAAAGTGTAATGTTTCGTCTTGAATCTCAAATAATGAATATAAATTTTATAGCACAATTTGTATGGCATACAAAAATGTATGCTATGTATTTTTTCTGCTTCTTTTTAATTATTTATAAGGGAATTATAATCAAATCGATATAGTCATGCAAGTGTGGCCCTCTGTTTCTATGCAAACTGATAGTGGTCTATGAACTTTCTTCATACAACTTCAAATATACCTAGCGTTTCCACAGAAGTCAGCTGAAATGTCGGAGTCGACCGGATCGAATTTCTATATATATGTACATGTGCTTATGTGTTTGTGTGTGGCTGGCTTAAGCTTAAGTCGAAGCACATGCCGCAAGCTTGAGGCGCAAAACCGAAACCGAAAGCCGAAAGGACACAGACTACAACCCGAGCATAAGTTCACATAAATAGCAAAGTTTTCATTTTTCATTTGTAGTTTTTTGTTATTCCTCTGTTGTTTGCTGTGTTCTTGTTCTTGCAATAAACATCGGTGTCATAATGATAAAAGACAGCTACAATCAAGAAAAACAATGCGAAATCAATGCGAACACACAAGCCAAACATACACACACACACACACACACACACACACACACCATGCATATTGTGCGATAAAAGTTGACTCGTGCCAGCTTGGAGGAGAAACCAAAAAAACAAAGACAACAAAAACAAAACAAAAAAAAAACGCCTGTGAATGTGAAATGCGAAATACCAAAAACAACAATTAACAATCAACAACCAACGCCGCTAGCGCCAGGAGCCACATCACCTCCTGACCCCCGTCAACAAGCAATATCAGCAGCAACAACAGCAGCAGTAGCAGCAGCAGCAGCAGCAGCAGCAGCAGCAGCAGCAGCAGCAGCAATAATAAAAAAAATACAGGAGCCATAAATTTATTATTACATACCAACGGCGGCAGTAGCAGCAGCAAGCAGCAGCAGCAAGCAGCAGCAGCAGCAAGCAGCAAGCAGCAAGCACCAGCAACTACCTCAATATTGCAGGCAGCACGATAGCAACCGAATGTGTACTCCAACCTGGAAATGAGCGCGTGCCTAACACATAAAACTCACGACGCTATTCGATACGATAGAGTGGGGGCTTCGATCTTTCAATCGATCTTTGTCGGATCCAAATACAGTTAATTATTTTTAATGTGGCATTTATATTAAAAACATTGAAAAAAATATTAACTTGACAACAGCTTAAAATGGATGTCATAAATAGAAACGTTTTCAAAGCTGATTTTGAATATAATTTGGAAATATCTTTATCACAATCGGTTAAGAAATAAATAAATAAATAAATTCAATATTAAGAAAAACAAAACGTTCTCACTAATGTTATTATAATAATTATAATAATATTAATTATGCCAGAATCATTGTTGGGTTGGGAGTTTCTATGTCCTCCCAATTTAAAACATGTTTCCCTAGGATATTGTATATTTTGTATTCTGGCTAAAGTGATACAATAAGTCATTATTATTAGTCATAGTGGCTCAAAAGAACAGTCAACATTGTGGTGCTCTAATTGAACAGTGAATATATTAAATATAATAAAAATGGCATTTCTGTTAAATTTAAGTGGTCATGATTTTTTAAGCTATGTTGCCTATCAATTATTTAGCACGTTGTGGGCACGGCACGCACGCTTTCAGCGCTATGCAGCACACACACACACACACACACACACAGAGGCACATATACACTTGTATATTCATATATACACTCCCACTGAGGTGGGCAGCAGCAGCAGCAGCAGCAGCAACAACGAAACCGGTGACGCAACGGAATTGTGGGTACCATGCATGTGCCGAAGCATGCAGGGATAGCACATTGGTTGGTCGGGGATGGGGATGGGCATGGCGATGAGGATGGGGCTGGTGGGTGGTGGCTAGTGGGTAGTGGGTGGTGGTGTGCTGCCAAACGACAAGCGACGAAGCGTTGCTATGACTGACAGCGAGGCTCCGGAGTCGACTGCTGCGTGCTGCGTGCTGCGTGCTGCTGCTGCTGCTGCTGCTGTTACTAGCGCTGCTGCACAGAGAGAAACATAGTCTACTTATAGCGACTTCAAAATATATTTTTCAAAATATATACTTCAAAACCGGCTTAAATTGATCAGTATACACGCAGGACTTATTCCAAGTTGAAAAATATACTAATAACAATTGTTGGAAACAACCAAAAAATATTCAGCAAAAGAAAATTTCTCAAAGAAATTAATATTGAATCCATGATTTGAAATTAGTCTAAACTATCCGTATTTATTTTTTTGGTAATTAAACAAAGGTACTAATTTTTAGATTATTTGTGAACTCATTTTGAGTAATTCTTCTACTTATGTGTGAATGATATTAGATTCAAAATCTCGTGCGAAAGGCACGCATAGATAAAATCACATAACATAAAGTGAACTCAATGTTGAATATTTTAGAAATAGATAGCACCAATAAATAAACCACTCGAAGAACAATAAACGTCGTACCTAAATCATCTACTACCAGTAAAATATTTGGGAGGCACACTTATTTTAATATTGTTTGTGCTTCATGTAAGATATTTTTCGTGTGCTCATTTTGAGTAATTCTTTTTTTGTACTTGTTCTTTTCTTTTTTTTTTTTGGTAATTGAATACAGGTACTTATTTGAAGATTATTTGTGTTTTATGTTAATTTTTGGTGTGCTCATTTTGAGTAATTCGTTCTTTTATTCCAGCTCATTAGTATTAACTCTAGTAATTCAACACTGGTACTTATTTTGAGTTTTTTTTTTTTTTGCTTGGTCATTTTAATTGAAGGCAGTATGTTTTTCTTGCAGTGTGCTGCTAATGCTGCTGACTACTGCTTGCTGTCTGCTGCTGCTTTGGCTTGCACTCAACGATGTCGACGCTTCGCTGGATTTTTTGGGGTATGGTTTCTATGTATATATACATATATATATATATATATATATATATATATATATGTATGTGTGTGTGTGTGTGTGTGTGTGCGTGCGTGTGTTGGTTGGCTTACAAGTGAGAATTGGGCATGGCAAATGGAGCCCGATCCGGACCCGGACTCAGACCCGGCCACAGGCACGACCAAAACGAATCAGAATACGAAGCGACAGGCAGTCGGTCGGGCGGGTGAATGCGCGCTGCCAACGTCGACAGCGACAGCGACGGCGACAGCGATGACGATGCCGACTGTTGTCGTTGTGTGTTACTTGTGTATAGACGCGGTGCCGAGCAACAAATTGAGTCAGTATCGCACAAACAACACTAACGGAAACATCAACGTGCAAAGCAAGACGGACGACGGACGCTTTCTGTCTCTCGACTTGTCCCACTGTGCGTCTGTCTGTTTGTCTGTCTGCCCGCCTGCCTGCCAGCCTGCCTGCCTGTCTGGCTGTCTGTTCAGTGTGTAGTAGTGTGTGCGTGTGTCCCAGGCGTCTTCTTGTTGCTGTCAACGCAACAGCAACAGCAACAGAAACAGCAGCAGTAACATTAAACAACAGCAACAACAACAGCAACAACAACAACAACAATAATAACAACAACAGCGGCAGCACAAACACCATCAATAAGCAACCACAGCGGCAACAACAAGAATACAAAAGAAGCCAAGGAGAAGAAGCAGAACAAGCCAAAACACACACACACACACACACACACGCAAATTGCAAGTGTGTGTGTATAAATAAAAAGAAAGCAGCAAAAAAAAAATATTTAAGAAAAAGAAGCGAAAATCCCAAAAGAAAAGAGTTGAAAGCAAGCGGCAAACTTTGCTGTTTTTTTTTGTTGTTTTTTTGGTTTGGAATTTTTACGTCGTCGCCTGTCGCCGATCGCCCATGTATATATATATATATTTATATATATATATGTATATATATGTATATATATAGATGCATATGCCCCATCCAATATATTGTATATATCCGAATGCAATACATTTTTTTTCTTGTAGTTGTCGTTTTAATAGTTAAGCTTGAGCCGAAATAAAATTAAAAGGTTGAAAAGCTAAATTCAGTGCTTCGAGCAAAAGCCCCAAATGCGGCCAATGGAAATGTGCATACAACAACAACAACAACAGCAGCAGCAGCAGCAACAGCAGCAGCGTTTGTTGCAGTAGCAACATCAACATCAACAGCAGCAACGTTAAGTTGACGTTGCCATAGCTTTATAGTCAGCAAATATCTGTCAAAATCTGCTTACGCATGCACACGCTTCAATGGCAATATGTACGAGCAGCAGCAACACCAACAGCGCCAACAGCAACAGCAACACCAACAACGCCAACGACAACTGCAGCATTAGCAGTAGCAGCATCATTACGATCTTAACAAGCAAACTGCATCAGCAGCGGCTACAACAACATTTGAAACAACAAGAACAAGAAGAAGAACAACGACAACAGCAACATCAGCAGCAGCAGCAGCAGCAACAACAACGAATTTTTCAACAACGCGCCGCAAACTATCAAAGTGGGTACCCTTAACTACAATAAGGAGCACACACACACACACTCACACACACTCACACACCCACACACACATTCACACACACACACACACACAGACACACACACAAATACACTTGTGAACACAGTAACTATTCGGAAATTAGAATGCATCTTTTCTACTCATTTTTTGCAAGTTGTATTTTTCGAGGCAGTATATAGAATATCTGTTTTAAAAGTTTCAAGCAAGATCAGTTCGGATCTGCTCTAATAGAAAAAGGAAGGTATTCTTACAGAGAATAAGCAAATATTTGCCGCAACTAACCTATTCAATGGTAATTGCTGGAAAACTGAAAAGGATGCCTAGACAATTATACATCTTTTTACCTCTAGTTTCTATGGCAGCTAAATGATATAGTAATTCGATCTGGCTAATACCGACGTATCTCTAGGTTAATACTGATAATTTAGCTTATGGAATCGGTTATATCTCCTGGAATGCAATACATGGGGTCAATAATTTACTAAAGCAATAAGAATAATACAAAACTTAAATGATAATTGAGGAACAGTAGTAAATTCTAGAAACAACTGACAACCACTGTATATATGTATGTATGTAGTATCGAGGATGTCTTTTAATTTTAGCTCGTGTAACCAACAACTGCAACCAAGTGCAAGCAAACAAACACCAACAAGACCAACAACAACAACAACAATATCCAAAATCTGATGCAGTCGCCAGTTAAGCGCGTTTTCTAAATGAGTTATGTACTCATGTACTCAGGGAACACGCACACACACAGACACACACATATATACATTATATATACATTATATATATGCATATATATATATATATATATAGATATGTACATGAGCTCGGTGTATTTCGTTGTTCGTTCGTTGTTCGCAGTTGTGTGCATTGGGGCATTGGCATTTTCACACACAGCACTATGCAAGGATGAGTTTGGGGAAATGCAAAGCGTTTGCCACAAAAACCACAAACACAATATACAATTCCAAGCAATTCTTAGCCAAAAGCCAACCAACTAGAAAAAAAAAAAATAAACTAAGTCGACATGACCACATCCCCATCCACAGACACCCCTCGCTTGCTTTGCTGAAGTGCCTGGCAATCTGGACAAAAAGCTTTTCGTGTCAGCAACAGATCCTGGCCGTGTGTTTTGCTGGCTTAAGCTAGCTTATTACCAAAAACGATAACACACACACACACAGAAATTATACTATGGACTATGGTCTCGTACCATTGTTATTACACAGCAAACGATGGAGAACGTGCGTCGAGTACTCACTGTACAATGATTTTAATCAATACACGAAACTTCATTTGCATAGTTTTTAAGTGATTTTCAACTTGATGTTGAGTTAAATGTTTGTTTAATCGACCATCGTTTTGTATTTACATCCAGTACAAATGCCGCCTTAGAATTTATATTCTTATTTTCATATCAATCAAGAAATAAATCCAGATTTATTCTGGAACGAATTAAAGAACTTTTCTCTGTGTGTCCCTCATTGAAATGCGTATTCTTAAACTGTTTGCGTATTGACTCTTTAAAATGGTATATGGATCTGTTATGATGCCAGAATATTTAAATTGTTCTATTAAGAAGGAGTAATTTGGGTTTGCCGTCGTTGCATGCAACACTTTTAGAAATTAATCCGTGTGGCGAATAGCTTATTTTCACATGCAGAATTGAAAACACTTTGGTAAATACGTAAATAAATATCTCGATTCATACATCAACACATGAAAACCAATTTGATTTCCTTCTATTTATTGAGTTAATGGAACAATGTCTATCTAAACAAAATTTAGTGTTTGAGTTTGTGTTGTTTGAATTGTGCTTTTCAGCAATTTATTTTTTTTTTAGTATCAATTATATTCCCATGTTCTTGATGAGCATTTTGTGTTTATACAATCAATCAAGATTCTGAATATTATTTCGTGTTTTTCGACATTCAAATCGAATTTATTCAACATGAGAAAGTTATGACTGATCAGAATTAAATATTGAACGCAAGCTGAACATATTTGCCAATTTGGTATAAATATCCATTTCAACAGAATAATTTGATTGAGTTACTGAAAATTCGAATGTACAACATAGACAAGTCGAACAGAATTACGATTCAAATAATGCCCTGAACAACATAGTCTACGTCAAATGCGAACATATTTTTGTATTTGAATTGTACCTCTGTAAAATAGATTTCACGCAAAAAATATATAAAAAAAAATATTATAAAATTGCAAATTCGGCCAAATGTTTGGCGAGCATTCGCTTTCATTTTCATTTTCAACACATGCGAAAAGTACTCGAAAATAATTCCATTTTTATGCTCTCCTGCTCTCTCTGCTGTTCGGTGCCCAGTTGGAGATATATATTTAAATATATAAATATATGTATTTATATGTGTATATAAGTTAGCTCTCTTTCTCTCTCTCTCTCTCTCTCTCGCTCTCAACAGAATGCACTTGCATGCGTTGTATCTGAACTATGTCTGCGGTTCAGGAATTTGCCATAAATAGCACCCGGCAAGCTGTTTTTTAATGTGCAGCCAAAAAGTCTCTCCCATTCTTCCACTCTCCCAGTTTCCCGGTTCTTTTGGCCATTGCTCCGTTTCGGTTTTTCTGTCCGTGCCTTTCGAAATATCTCCCAGACATACGTACAATATATATTGCATGTGAGCATCTTTATTGACAGTGGAGTTCATTTATATTCTCTGAATGGCCATTTTAAGTAGAAAAGTATTTGTTATTTTTGGATTTTTATAGTTTATAAAATCGGCAACATCAGAAAGAAGACTTAATAAGCAGTCAAACCATTTTTAATCGAACTTTTCTGAGTTCATTTTTATAAAATTTGAGTGTTAAGTTTCTTAGTTTATTCCAGTTTTCTTATCAATTTTTGTTGTTGTTTTATTTGGTGCTTCTCTTTTAGAAAAGTTCTCCCTTGTATATATAAGTATATCCAATATATATATAAAAAAAATGATGATGATTATTGAATTGATTTGTAGTTATCTACTTTGAAGCCATCTTTGAGTTTTCAATGAGCTCCTTGGTTAATGACCAGCAAAGCGTAATCAATCATTCAATCCAATTAACCCCAACATCTCCTGTGTATCTGTCTTCGCTCTCTCCCTCGCTCTCCCTCTCTCTCTCTCCCTGCCCTGTCCATCTCTGTCTTTGTGAATGTGTTCCACCATATGGCCAGACTCCTTGACCAGTCCTCACAGTTGTAATCATCGAGCAGACAAACCTAGCATTCCATAGTATGGATTTCAAAACTCATTACGATACACTGCGACAGCAGCGGGGTATACTGACAGTGTTGTTGGCAAAGGGGCTTCCCCTTGTAATTAAATTCCATTCCAGGAAATTTTGTGCGACTGGCTGAAGACCGTTAATATGAAAGTTTTCTAATCCGTTCTGCTCTGAGTTAATTAAATTACAACAAAGTCGAACAAAGTTTTGCTCGTCGATGAAGTTATAATAGCCGTTTCTGTTAGTCATTTAATATTGCTTAAATCTGCACCAACATCCAGTGCACTGCTGTTTATAAACAACAAACTATTTTTTAATATTCAATATTATATTATTTTTAAATTTTTGGGGCTTGTCAGCTTGTCAGAAAAGATCTATACAATATCAATAGTATCTACAGCTATATACTATCTATAATCTGGAATCAGTGTTATACCAGCAGGTGCGGACTGAATAATATCGGCTTCGATTATTGATTCATAAAAAAATTTTGACATTTGGTTGCGATTCCAAATTTCAATCGATTAATTTTGATAAAATGTTCCGTTTGTGGTTTGTTTCGATTAAAACTGTCTCTGATAACAGGTGCAAAGATACGAGAGGAATAAAACCGATTTCGTTTACTGAGTCTTAAAAAAATTATGAATTTGGGTTAAAATTCTGGTTCCTGTGGCAAATTTCAATCGCTATGATATTGTGCACATTAAAATTATTTCTGATCAGTGATATATATATATATATATAGAGTCGGATAAAAATGATCAAATATAATGTTTTAATTCAAAGGTCAAGAAAATGTCCACACATTTTATAGTACTAATATACATGAGTATAATCTAAATAAATTCAGCTGCTTTCAATGTTAATTCATAGATATTTATTTAATTAAAATCCGTTTTATCCAAACATAACTTTATGGCCCGTTTATGTTAATGTTAATTGCAATCGTTAACGTTAATGTTAAGTTTTATGTAAATGGTAATGGAAATGCGCAACGTTTGACTATCGATTAGACAAATACTATTTATTAATAATGTTAAATTATTTGGGCCTTACGTTTATACTCAGTGCGTTAATTGATTTGTCCATTTGAATATTGCACGCGCACAGAAAAAGAAACGCAAAAACAAAAGCAAAACGAATAAAATTCCGTTAACTTTTCATAAGGCAATTTTGCTAAGTTACCGAATTGTGCGTGTGTGTTTAGGTGTGTGTGTCTGTGTGTGCGTCTATGTGGGGTGGGAGCTACCATTTGACGTATCGTATACGAATATGTATATATATAATTATATATATATATATATGTATATATGAAACATCTGCTGATTTTTAGCCATTGATTGATTTTCTGTGTCGCTGCATCTACTTAAAAATATATGTCTTTCCATAGATATACAAACATTTATTTACCTACATTTTTGCTGCGCGTGTGTGTATATAGGTGTGTGTGCCAGTCTGTCTGAATGTCTCAAAGTCTGTCTCTGTGTGTGTGTGTGTGCGTGTATAAATATAAAATATTTATACAGTTCGTGTAGTCAATTTACATCCGCGTCCATCAGCGTCGTCTTATCAATGTCAAGCCAATGAACCCAAATCTATATTGCCAGACTTCTTCAGGCATTTTATTCAATATATGCCCCTTATGGGCGTGTGTGCGTGTGAGCGTGTGTGTGTGTGTATGTGCTCATGTGTGCTACCCTTTTTAAGTCAGTCAGCTGTGTGTAAGAGAG